GCTCAGTTTCTCAATTATAAGAAAGAATTCCAGAGTTTTATGAAGGATTCCAGAAAATATTTAACCATAAAATATCTTAAATATCCTTTAAACTTTTAAATGTTGTATTAGTTAAGTAGTTTTGTCACTTCAAACTGATCACCTGTTTTAGCTTCTGTATCTCTTGGGCATTTTGTTAGACAATGGATATACAGTAAAAAAAAGATCTAGTAACTGGCTTTGAGTTCATAATATAGAAGGGGAGGCAAGCAGGAGAATTACATTTTATAGCATAGTATAGTAAGAAATAAATGGCCCTTTCTATTTTGAGAGCCAGTAGAATTCCAAGTGGGTAAATTCTCAAATGAGTATAACTTAATGTCTTTGGAGGCAGAAAAGACGGACAGATAAGGAAGTAATAAGTAGTCCTTAAGCAGGAAGTAGGGACTTAGCTATTTTTCTTTTGGTTTAGTAAACTCTAAACTCTTCTCTTTATTTTCCGCTTTGTTTCTTCTCTCTTCTATTTCTACTTTTAGTTAATGTTCCTTCATTATTACAAAATTTGTTGCATAGTTCCATTTTTTTATATTAATACATTAAAAACATTACATTTTATTTCTATGTGAATATAAAATGAAGTGGCTTATTTGAATTTTCATAGGAAAAGAAGGTAGCAATTATATTAATTATAGTAATATTTTACTCAAATGATTACTCTTATTTTGTGTTTGGGTTTCAGAATCGTTTAACATCTTTATTGTTGTGGTGGTTGATATTACAAGTCTGGCATATTTGCCTTTGTGCTGAGGCTTAAATTGTAATTATTTTCCTTATCATAGGTCCTTCCTCTCTCCCACCATAAGAGATTTAACAAGTTTTTTTTTTAATGATGACATTAAATGACAATGCAGCTCACCTTATTATTCATCATTAATAGAAGCCTGGAATTTAAAAGTCCAGCATATTTTATAAATGTTGAGTTTGAGGTGACAGATATCCAAATGAAAAAGTCCCATTTAGCAGTTGGAAACTTAAATACCAAATTACTGAGATGAGAAAGATTGTACTTACCCTTTGTAGCAGAAGTCTTAGAATGGAAACCAGATCTTGTCATTCCTCTGTTCTTTACCCTCCACTGATTGCCTAATTCAGTCAGAGTAAAGCTAGTCTTTAAAATGGTTTTTATGGCCTTACATGATATAGCCTCCTGTGATCTTTCTGAGATCATCTGTTCCTTACTCTCTGGTTCTAGCTACATTGATCTCTTTTATGTTTCTCAAAAAGCATAGTTATGCTCTGGCCTTAAGGGTTACAGCTCTTCCCTCTCTGCCCCTGCCAGGAGCACTCTTTCTCCAGATACCTTTCTCCCTTCCCTCACCTCCTTCAAGGCTTTGCTCCTATCTCAACTTCTCAATGAGGCCTTTTCTAACTATGCTGCTTAAAGTTGCTGACCCTTCCAGAACTTTCACACATATCTCTATTTTCGCCTAATTTTTCTCTGTAACACTTAACCACCTTCTAATATACTCTATAACTTACCTTTTAATTTTATTTATTGTCTCCCTTACAATAAAATGAACCTCTCTGAAGACAATGATTTTTATAAATTTTGTTCACAGCTGTGTCCCTAGTACCTCAAACAGAGGCTGGCATATACCAGGAACTCCATAAATATTTGTTGCTAAGTTAAGTTAGGGCTACCCACTGAGATCAATTTAAAGTTTTCTGACCTTTCCAGGGAGCATGAAGTATACCAAAGATTTTATTTTTAAAGTCTTTCCTTAAAAAAAAAAAAAGTATTTCCTTAGGCTCAAAACTAAAATTAACGTATGTAATCTACATGTGTGTATAACTATTAACTTATAGATTTTATATATGTCATAAAGTATAGTATATAACATCTGTAATTTACTGGGTGGCTCAGTCGGCTAAGCATCTGCCTTTAGCTCAGGTTATGATCCTGGGATCAAACCCTGCATCAGGCTCCCTGCTCAGCGGGGAATCTGCTTCTTCCTCTGCTTCTCCCCTTGCTCATGATTTCTCTCTTTCTCTCTCTGAAATAAATAGATATTTTTAAAAAAAAATCTATAAATACTTCATTGAATGGATGTTTAGTCACTTAATTCACCAGGGTCCTATAATAGACACACAATAGGTGAGAGCTGATGGAAACTTTGTATATTATGTCAAAGTTAAATGTCCTGCAGACAGTGAGGATTTAGTGAAGGATTTTAAGCAAGAAATTGAGATGAGCAGACTTAAATTTTTGATAGCCCACTCTGGTGTTTCAAGGAGACCATCTGGAAAGCTACTTTAATAGTCCAGCAGGAGGGGATGAGAGAATATGAAGAAGGAATGGATTTTGGAAATATTTAGGAAATAAAAATTGACAAATCTTGGTGTCTGCTTGAATGTGGGGTATGAGAGAAGAGGCTAGAATGACTCCAACATACCAACTGAGAGGAGAAATAGAAATACATGCGGTAATGTTAAGTTCATTTTGGAAAGTTGAATTTGAAGTGCCTGTGTGACATCTGGATAGAGATATATGGTGAGGAATTGGATCAGGGATCTGAGACCCAGGAGGTGTGAGCTAGAGATGGGGTTTCAGGGATAGTCAGTACAGAGAAGTGTTTTGAAATCATGTTGAGTGAGTGGTATCACAGCAGGATAATGTATATACTCTGAGAGAAAAAGAGACCTTAGGATGTTAGGACCACGAGGAATTCTGACTCCGAAGAATTGGGCGAAAAGTACCAGAATAAGGTAAGAAGAAAAACCACACTAAATTCTCATCTGTCAGTTAATAACTTAAACATCACCTCTTCAGAGAAGGCTCAGGTGATCCCCCAGTTAAAATTAGGTCTCCTCTATTGCTTCTATTAACCCTATTCTTTTTCTTGGTAATTTTTATCACAATTTAAAATTCTGTGTTATTTTTGTGTCTTATTTATGTCTCCTACTGCATGAGGGCAGGAACCTCTCTTTTGCTGTCCATTACTTGCTCAACTTTTAGCACAGTGCCTGATGCATGATAGGTGGATAGATTTATTTGTTAAGTAAATGAAGAAAGTTTGGGATCACAGAAGCCAATCGATGACAAAGTTTCAGAAGGTAACTATTTCACATGTTGCTCTAAGTAGTCCAGTAAAGTAATAATAATAATAATGATAGCTAGCAGTATTGAGCCCTAGTAAAATGAAGGAATGAAAATGTCCGTTGTATTTATTGATGAAGAGGTTTGGGATGAATTATCCACTGAGTGAACACTGCCCCTCAGGGAGCTCTCTGTGTACAGACGGGGTGATAACAATAGCCAGCTTCTCCAGGAGCTACAGTATGCTCTTTATATGCACTATTTAGTCCTCACAGCAAATCTGAAGGTAGGTGAAGGTAATTATTACCCTTATGTTACGGATGAGGAATTAGGTTAAGGAGATTACACACTTCGCCCAGATAGTGGTTATTTTGAGATTTAAACTTAAGGCCTTCTGACCCCAAGGTCCATGCTTTTAACCACTGTGCTCCAGTAGGGGGATCCAGTTGATTCATCAGGGAACTGATACCTTGAAAATGACATTTGAGCAGGAATGGTTTAGGTGCTGTTTATAGGACAGATTAGAAGTGAGAGTGACTGGAATTGAGAAACCAGATACACGGTTCTTGCATTAATCCAGAATGAGGCATTTGGTTCCAACTGGAATCATAACTATATTTGAAAATAAAGGAGAGGATGATCTAAGATCTCTTATTAAGGAAGAATTGACAGGACATAGATACCAGTTAGAAATCAGGAGTAAAAGAGAAAAGTAAAAAGTAATTATAAGACTCCAATCCTAGGCATTGGAGATTTTTATGAACAGTGCTTCTAATATGGGAGAAATTCAAAATGTGCCCTTTTGGTTGCATGAAATAATAAAATTGTGATTAGAATTTTAGATGCTATTTATAACTGAAAGGGGGGATTGACAATCTTTGGTATTGAGAAAGGGCTAGAGACAGAGTAAGAGTAAGTTTTAGGACAAGAGGAAAAGGATTTACTAGATGTATTAACTAAAACCATGTGAGAGATTCTCAAGGATCTTGGCCTTTTTTTAAGAAACTTTAGAAGCACAGCTGCCATGGCTTAATAATTTTATAATTTAAGGAAAAGTTAAAGGTTTTTCCCATTTAACAAGAATTTTCTTTCCTTTTACAAGAATAGGTGGAGTGAAAAAGAATGGAGGAGGTGTGTTGTTTGGCACTAATAAAATACAAAAGGTAGTGATAAATATAAGGCCGAGAATATAATTCTGAGTGTCGTTAGGGATTCTATGAAGAATAGTGGTTGATAGGGACAGGTCAGAAGGGATCTGTAAGTGCAGTCACTAACTGGCACAACATGTGAGAGAGAGACCTGGCTGGCATGCTCAGGGAAATGACTTTGTGTTCTCTGGCATCTATACCAAGATCCTAACATAGACTAAACATTTGATCTTTGTCGCCTGACTTCATAGACACAAGGTTAGGACTATAGAATTCAAAGTTGGTAAGTACCAAATCTAGTTCATTGCTTTAACTTCATCTGTATATGTATTATTTATTTTTCCTATTGTATAACATCCCAAACCTTATGAATAAAAGTTGTTTAAAATTCTTTTAAAAGTATAACCTAAAATGAACATAAAAAACATCTGACTCCAGATTATACATTGTTTTTACATTTACATCTAAAAGTGATGTTTTTTCTCTGAAAAAAATTTCAGTATCTACTTCATGATTCTAATAATATTTTCATCCTAATTGACCTTTATGATTTCATAAGGGCTTATTAATTTTGTTTTATAGATACAGAAAAAAAAGTATAGAAACACTAACTCTATGCTTTTGTATAGATGTAGTGGTTTTTATGACAGCTGTGATTAGCTATTCATTGAGAGACTACAGAGTTTAGATATCTTCTAACCTAAGGGAGCCTCCTCCTCCCCTGTGGTTAGAAAGCTCACCAGGGTAGATTTCTTATTGTTGTCCTTCCTTTTTAGGTGTGAAGTTTTTCAACATGAGTGGCCTCGGGGACAGTTCATCCGACCCTGCTAACCCAGATTCACATAAGAGGAAAGGATCGCCATGTGACACACTGGCATCAAGGTAGGAACACTCTTTTCTTAGTCTATATCTGAGAGAACTTCTTTATCAATTTCATTGACATTTTAGAGCTCCTGTTCCATCTACTCCAAGTTTACTGGTCGTCTTTGAGTCCCTTAGGTTTACCATGCTGTCTTGCTTCCCCAGGGCCTTTCCATATGCTTGCTCCCTCTAGATTTCCTGGAACCTATAGAACACCTGTATATTATCCAGATGCCAGCTTAGATATTACCACCTTAAAAGAAGCTTTATTTCCATAACTATTATATTAAATCTCCCTCATTCGTGTATCTGTCTCACATTATGTCTATAGCTCTGATCCATAATTTCAAGTTTTTACTAATTATGTGATTATTTCACAAACCCCTGACTTCTCCACTACACACTTAGACTACCATTTGGTAAGGACCTTGTCTGTTCTTACTGTTTTATCCCTAGTTTGTAGCATAGTATTTGGATTATGTAGAGTAAGGACACAGTAAGTATTTGTCAAGTGAATAGATAAATTCATTGTACATCTTTAATTGCTATCTTAGAACATTATGGTCTTAGTAGAACAAAGAAATATATTGTTATAATGTTAGGATTTTAAAGGATCTCTATGAAATTAAATATTTGTATATTGTAAGAAATATGATCACCTTCAATTGGCTAAAAGAGAATTACTGCTAAGGAGACTAACAAATTCCAGATAGAAAAGGAACCACAATCACATCAAAAGAGCAGCTTTCTACCTGAGAGGAGAAGAGTGGGGATCCATTCACCTTCTAGGATCTAAAGCAAGCTTTCTCAGCCTTTCACACTATTGTCATTGTCAGCCAGATAATTCTTTGTTGTAGGGCACTATCCTGTATTGTAGGATGTTTAGCAATATCCTGGGCTTTCACACTAAAGGCCAGTAGCATCTTTATATCATTTGTGATAACCAAAATGTCATATCAGTTGTGATTGCCAGAAATGTCTTCAAACATTATCAAATGTCTGTCAGTATTTCCCAAGGATGGGGAAAGCAATATGGCCCCAGTTGATAATAGCTGATCTAGAGAGTTGAAGTGACAAAAGACTCTTTTGTCACTGGATTACACGCTTTTTTTCTCATGGCAAGGAAAGTAAAGGATTTTAACGAGAGTGCCAGGGCTCTAGACTGGAGAGAGAAAAGTTAATCAGTTCAGAGAACTATCATAGAGAGATCATAACCTAAGTACTCATAACCACAGGTAAGTCTCCAGATGCTCAGAGGATATCAAGATACAATCCAGATTTATGTTGTCAGAGTTAATGTTCTTATTTCTATCTGTATATAAGAAAGTCAGTCGTTTACAAAGGAAAACTTAAGAATAAATAATTAAAACTATGTTTTTTGGATTTAATTTTTTTATTTGGGGGAATTATTTAAATCTATAAAAGTATAGACACTAAGAAAGTATCTCTACTCATCACATATATTTTATGGTATTAGTATTTTGTTAATATTTTATCATATTTGTATAGTCTTGTTTGAAAAAAGGTAGTAAAATAATTAATGATTAAATTGATCTGTCTGCAATTAATTTCTCCATTTTTAATAATTATGTATATAAAAGGATTGGTGAGTAAATATATATTGTACAATACTGTATAGCATATATATTTTCCTATGATACACTCTTTGCAGCATGCATCTTGAGATATAAGCACATAGATTCAGTCCTGTCACCTTTTGATTAAATATTATATTACAGCAACGTATACCATTTGAAAAATCCATTTCTCTACAGAAGAGAGCTTCCCTATAGATAAACAAGCTTTGTGTTAGAAATTTTCTCTCTTACTGCTAGCACTGCAGCGAACATCCTCATATACACCTCCTACTTTATACGTAAGAGTTCCTTTAGGATCTGTGTACATATTTTTTTTTGGATCTGTGTACATTTTTTGTTAACTAGGTAACTACCACATTGCTCTTCAAATAATAAGCATCCAGAGCTTTTTTTTTTTCCACATCCTTACCCACACTACTCTCTCTCCTCACTTTAACTCTTTGCCAGTCTGATTGATGTGTGTGGGGTTACAGTTTCAAGTATATTTCACTGATGACTAGATACATTGATCATGGTTTTTGTTTTCCTCTTCTGTGAATTTCCTGGTTATATCTTTTGCCCATATTCCTGCTAAGGTGTTTGTCCCTTTTATTTGTAAGAGTTATGTTTAATTTTCTAGGTACTACTATTTGTTGCTTAAACTTGATTCATATGCTATCTCTCAGTCTAACTCTGTTTTTGAAATCTTTTGACATATTTTAAAACCTTCAGTTTTCATGTGTCAAGCTCATGGGAGGGGTCTTATTAAAGAATATTTTCCCCTCTACTTCAAGACCTTCACTGCATTTTTACATATTTTCTTCTAATAAATATTTAAAGTTGTAATCAATCTGGAATTTATTTTTGTGTATGACATAGTTTTATTTTTTCCTACGAAGAATAGAAGTGGTTATGAATGACCCTATCCTTTCCCTGCTTTTGTGCTGTTACCTTTATCATAAACTGAGTTCCTGAATAGATAGAGTTCTAGTTTCGAACCTTCTTATGACAGTCACCTTGATATCTGAAGGGGCAGGACATTCTTTTTTGTCATTTTTCAAAATTGTTTTCCCTGTTCTTGTCCCTTTACCATTCCATTCATATTTTAAAATCAGTTTTCTAAGTTTCTTCTGGGGGGAAAAATACTCCTGGGATCTAGATTAGAATTTCATTTACTTTTATGCATTAAATTGGGAGAGAAATGACATTTTTATTTTCTAGACTCCAGATTCTAGAGTGTTCTTATTTGTAAATATAAAGGCTGTTCACTTATTCAAGTCTTCACTGTTCTTCAGCAATAGTTTATAATTTTCCTCTTTGAACAACTAGCCCGTCTTTAGTTAGATAATTCCAGGGTACCACAGAATTTTTATTGCTTTTAGAAGTGATATCATTTTGTCTATTGCACCTTCTAATTGGCAATTTTTAATATACAGGAATACTAATGATTTGGGATTATTGGTCTAATGTTCTGAACTTTCTTATTTGTTTTATGGTTTATTTATAAAACTTTGATATTTTTTGTACCTACATAATCATGTTATTATAAATATCAAAAACTAATATATTATTCTCAGATGTTTTAAAGATAATCCTTATATGTTTGTATGGATAATCCTTATCCTTGTATGTTTGCTTTCAGAATGTTTGAGAACATTCTCTCCTTTAGGTTTATAAGTGTGGGCTTTAGTTTTCAATTGATATTTTTGATATGGTAAACCAAAACTTTGTGATTTTGAAACTGGAGTTTGCACATGAATACCACCTTGTCATGTTTCTTTTGGTTTGTTATCTGCTGTCACTTTAAACAGATTTTGAACTCATTAATCATAAAAGTGTACGTTATATTTTAGGGTATTGAGAGCCCTTGTGCCCATGAGCCCTGATAGAGTTTCTTAGTAATTGTTTGATGGGATGAGATGTCTCATATCTCCTCCTATTCTCTTTTCTCCATTCCTTAACTCTACTGGAGAATGGGGATTAAAATGCTGGTCTCAAAATAGTGGATAGCTGTGCCTTGTGCCTGTATAACATTTCTAATTCACCTCAACAAGTGCTTTATTAAGTGCCTGCTATTCAACCAGCATGGTGTGCATGATGTTATAAGGATATAAGTGAAATGAGGCATGTTTTCTATCTTCAGGGAGCTTGCAAATCTGGTCATGCCACACATTCTTCTAAAACCCTTCTGGGCTTCCTCTTACCCTGAAAATAAATAATCATAGCCAAAATGTTGATAATAGATAACATTTATTGAACTAATAGCCAGGAATTCTGCCAAGCGTTTTACATGTATCATCTTTAATCCTCACAAAATTCTGGGAGATAATTAATGTCATCATCCTTGTTTTGCAGTTAAAGAAATTGAAGCTTAGAGAAGGTAAATTGCTGCCCAGGTAACTTGCCCAGGGTTACAAAGCTAATAAATGACTGAGGAAGTTTCAACTTGTGCTTTTAAGCAATATACCATGCTCTTTATCATGGTGTATGCAAGAGCCCTCATGATCCGGCCTGGTCCTCATCTCTTGCCCTTTTGTTTCTTATTTGTACATCAGCCATGCTGAACTACTTACAGGTTCTTTAACTTGACATTTTCATTCTCATTTTATACCTTTGAAAAAACTGGGTTTGTTTGCCTCCCCCACCCTGAAACCAATCCCTCTCTACTGGCTGGGTTGGGACAATTCATTCTCTAGGTCTAGGTGCTACCTCTGTGAGCTTCTGTAGTATTACAGTCTTGTCAGTGTAATAGCTCCTTTTCTTTATTCTCACACTAATTGGGGCTACCTCTAATTTAACCGTGGGTCCCTGGTACATATTACAAGGTTATCTGGCACATAATAAGCAGAGGAACATTTATGAAAAAGCTAGTAGTTGAAAACAAAAGATACATGAGGAGTTAATTCATAGCTTTGTTAACTAGCATGTGTGCCAGATCAATGGAAGTCTGTTGGGCTGATGAAATGTAGGTGGCCCAGAGTAATAAAGGAAACCTTCTTTTCCATTAAGGTAGAAATTTTTTGTCACACCTGCCCCTTCTTCAGTTTTAACTTTATTTGAATATATCTGCTCTCATTTTCTGTCCTTGCTTATTAGTTACTTCATTTTGTGGTGATTTTCCTAGTTTCATTCTTAAGTCATTTTATAGACACCTCAGCATTTCGTTACTCTTAGCTTCTTCCTTCCTCTCTCACCTCTCTGTCTGACTATCCTGCCATTCTATCACTTTCTTTTACTCTACAGTGGTGTCAGGCATTTCAGTTTTACATAAAACTTAATGTCAAAAACAGATTTGAGAGTTCCACCACATGAATCCAATTTACTCATATTGGAATTTAGACTCCTGGACTTAAACAGATCATACTTTAAACTGAATCTACAAAATAAGTGTAGTATGAATTAGTTTCTCTAAGGCAAAAACAGGTGTCCTCTTAAATACTTGTCAATTTGCAGACATGGGGTTCTCTGAAACCTTGCATATATGAAAATGTGTGTTACTCATTTTCTTCATGTTTTCAACACCTTGGTGTGAAATTTGTCAAAATACCTTGCTGCATATACTATCTGGAAATTCTCAGATAAAGTTTTACTAAGTAAAATGAGACTAATAACTCAATAATGAAAGGCTTTAAAGATAAAGACAATGATTATTATGGTTTTAAAATTTGGTTATGTTTTGGGATGTGTACCATTTTGTAGTATTTTGTTTATGTAGTTAAATACATTTGATTGGTTGACTTGGTTCTTTTCAACACTACTACATTGTTATGGAAATGCTATTGCTTTTATCGTGTTTTTTATTACGAAAAGTGGTATTTTAATTGTCAATTATGAACTTTTTAAAAAGCAACTGATCTTTCCCTCTTTTCACCTCTTTTTCTACCATTATACCAGATGATTTTGATTGCTGCTTATTAAAACAAAGAGCTATTTGTGACCAGTCTTTCTTATTATGTTAATTTGATAATGGAAAAATTCATTTCAAAGTAATACTTCACTGTCTTTGCATGTATTACATAAAGCAAGTTGCCTGATGATTTGGCTAATTAAACCAGGAGTAAAGACTAGAAAACAAAAGTGAACGATATTCATTCACTTCATTTGAATGAATATAAAATGCTAGCTGTTTGCACTATTATCCTTTGTTCTCATTATTTTGCTTCCAGATAAATCAAAATTGATTGTATTACATTTATGAGAACCTATAAATAGATGTCTTTTCTATTTTTTTAGAACAAAGTTGTATACAAAAGACATTCTCTGTACCTTATCTCTAATTATTGATCCATTATTTTTATTTTACTTTTTGGATGGATACTCCTTTCTTTTTGATGAGGACCAACTAATGGTCTAATCATTATCCAAATTAAGAGTTTATTAGAGATGAGTTTTTCAGATTTCCGAGTATAACTTATTTGAACTAGTATAATCTCACTGCTTAATTTATATATATCAAAGTTATTTGAAAATTCACATTTTCTATTTCAAGGAGTTATTATTTAGAGTATAAAATAAATTCCAAGTGCAACTTGTATATGTACTGTCTGCTTCCTTTTAATGTTTAACATTCATTGGCTATTTGAAATATTTGATACATTTACATCATTAAGGAGGAAATACATCTGTGATGGCAGTTTTTCTTTTTATGTATTTTGGCCAGAATTGTCTTCTGCACTTTGGTATTTTGGAGTATCTGTTTTTCAGATGTGAATTTAGATTGTTTTCAAAATCTGACTTTATATTTCAGATAAAATTACAGATCTCTATAAGGTTGTTAATATTAAGTACTTGAACAGAGAAGGAAGTATGGTGATAGAAATGTACACTAACTGGTTTTTCTTTGTGGAACAGCACTGAAAAGAGACGCAGGGAGCAAGAAAATAAATATTTAGAAGAGCTAGCTGAGTTACTATCTGCCAACATCAGTGACATTGACAGTTTGAGTGTAAAACCAGACAAATGCAAGATTTTGAAGAAGACAGTCGATCAGATACAGTTAATGAAGAGAATGGAACAAGGTAAACAAAACAAAACCATGGCTGTGTGCTTTTTTATAAGGACCTTTATAATATGTGATTTTATTTTTTTATTATTAAGAAATTGCTTTGAATTTCATAATTTTATTAAACATTTTTGTTTAGATGGTCTTTATTTTATAACATGAATCTGAGAGCCTTCTTGTTATAACAACAAGGTTTATTAATTTAACTTGAACACTTGTTGCCTTGGGAGGTTATAGAACCTGGTACCATAGGGGATAGAGTCAAAAAACATAACTTGTGGCGTCAGACCTGAAGCTTTGGCACAGTGTTGAAAGACAGTAGCTCAGTTGTAGGTAACTCTCTCCATCTGAAAAATAAGTTGGTCTCTGCCTTGGCTCTGGGTGTGGGAAACAGTCTCCTCTGAGAAGACTCTCATTTTTTTTTATGATTCATATTTATACTAGCCATATTTACTGAAGACCCCACACCACAAAATCCCTAGCAAAGAGTTAAAAGAGACACAAAGGCAGAGTGTCTCTTGGCCCCAAGACATTCCCAAAGAAAAATTGCTCCCAAGGTGATTTTATGCTAAAACTTTAAATGACATATGAGGAAACAATCTACAGTAAGTAGGACCCCAAATAACAAACATAAGGAACAGTCCCAAAAGAACTTCAGATTAAGAGCAGCAATGTGAAAAGATTATAAACAAATATATTTGTAATGATTAAAGTGACAGGATTTTAAGATTTTATAAGCTGGAAAGTCAATTGTCTAGTGACAGCCGATTGAGCAGACAGGAGAAACTGGTATTTTAAGTCTGCAGGGGAAAGCCAGTAAGAGGCTGTATGTCTCCTTGCTGCTTGATCTTAAACCCTGACAGCCTGACTCATGCTCCCTAAGTCAGAGGTGAGAGGACTCCTCTGGGGATCCTGAGCAATCCAAAGAAAAGACACACAGACACTGACCATTGGGAATGGGTCAACATGACAAAATCAGTTCCCTGTCTTGCCCCCTCTATCCACATTTTCTTCCTACTCCCACTAGAGCCCCCTAAGGGTGAGGATTTTTGTTGCTCATCATTGTGTTCTCCATCTCTAAAACAATTCCTGGCTATGTAGTAGACTTTCATGAATATTTGTTGAATAAATAGATGAAAAGATATTGTGAAATATCTTTTGAAAGGTTGAAAGATAGTGTGAAGAAATCCCTTAGAAAATAAAGTAAAGTAAAAAGATAAGCAGTGGAAAGCAAAGGAAAGATGGGAATTATGGGATTAGTTCAGGAGGTGTAACATATGATTAATTCCAGAAAAAGAGAACAGACCAAATAGAAGGGAGGAAATTATAAGAGTAATGATATAAAAACAAAACAAAACACTTCTCAGAATTAGAGCAGTGTGGGTTTCCAGATTGAAAGCACTCATATAGTGCCCAACACAGTGAATAAAAAAGAAAGGAAAAAAGAAAAAACCCATACCAATGCACAATTTTTAGACACTACAGAGAAAATACAAGAGAAGGAAAAAATAGGTGCATACTATATTTTCAGAATGTATCCAGATTTCTGAATAGCAGCACTGAAAAATGAGAGTTCTAAACCTGGAACTCTGTGCACCCAAATGAAGTATGAGTGCAAAATAAAGACATTTTCAGATGTTCAAAGCCTCAGTTGAAAAGTTTTTTTGTGTACTTTTTTCAGAAGTAGCTACCAAAACCAAGGTAGTAAACCAAGAAAGAAAGGCATAAGATCTTAATCCAAGGGAACCATAGAATCTTAACAGAAGAAAGATAGAAGGAGACTAGAACTACAGTTGTACATCTGCCTAAAAATGTAGCCAGTCCCAGTTGAAGCAGGTAGATATGGGTCTCCAGGAGGAATAGTTCCATTTAAAAAAAAAAAAAAGGAAGAATATCTGATGACTGACCAAATTGAGAGGAATTTTTCAGCTCTTGGGGACAGTTTAGAGATGAGTTAAAAAAAAAAAACTAAAACACAAAATATAAGAAATGTAAATTGTAGCACATACCTTGGCTCATTTGTGAACCGTATATTTATGTAGCTACAGTAACATAGACGTTAAATACTGATTGCTCTAAAAATTCTTGTAACTATATTGGGAGAATGGAGGGAGGGAGGGAGAAATATATGTGTAGAAGGTTGATGTAAGTTCAAGTCTTTTTATGATTGCATGTCAGTAATGTCTGTCATGAACATAATCAAGATATAGCAAATAAACATGTTATTGGGAAATAAGGAATATATTAGCTACAATTATAGGCTAGGCTACTGTAACAAGAGACCCCAAACACAGTAGCTTTAACAAGATAATCTATGAATGTGTCAGAGGTTGTGATTCCTTCTATCTTTTTTGCTGTGTCATTCCTAGTATATTACCATTACTCACATGGTTAGACATGGCTCACCTGTCCATATCCCAGCTGACAAGAAGGGGGAAGAAGAAAATGGGAAGGCATGCTTCTTTCCTTTTAAGGATAAGGCCCAGAAATTGCATGTCATTTCTGTTCACATTCCTTAAGCCAGAAAGTAGGTCACTTAGCTACTCCTGCCTTAGGATTTGCCTAAAATTTTAGATGTTTTGCTTTTCACACAGTTATTTAATTTACTTGGACTTGATGGTTTATGTTTTTTTGCAAACTTGTTTAAAACACAAAAACCTGTGTTTTAATACTATAAAAACATGAATTGATGAAGGAAGTGGATCTTAGAAATAAATGAGAAACTTCTATACCATAATAATAAAAAGATAGCCCAATTAAAAAATAGGCAAAGGCTCTGAATAGACATTCTCCAAAGACCTATAAGTGACTAATAAATTAGCACAGGAAAAATATGCTCGATATCATTAGCCATCAGGGAAATGCAAATCAAAACCACAATGAGATAAGATAGCTATCATCAAAAAGACAGATAACAACCGTTGATAAGGATGGGAGAAATTGGAACCCCTATATGCTGCTGGTAAGAATGAAAAATAAAATTGTGCAGCCGCTTTGGAAAACAGTCCAGTAGTTCCACCATATTGTCCAGCAATTCCATTTGTAGGTATATACCTGAGACAAATGAAAACATATGTCCACATGAAAACTTGCACATAAATATCTATAATATCACTATTCATAAATAGCTGAAAACTGGAAACAACCCATATATCTATCAGTTGATTAATGGATAAGTAAAATGAGGTATACTTATACAGTGGAATATTATTTGGCAACAAAAAGGAATTAAGTATTGACAAATGCCTCAATATGGATTAACCTTGAAAATAGGCCAAGCAAAAGAAGCCATCACATAGGACCACACAAGTATGTTTCCATTTATATAAAATGTCCAGAATAGGCAAATCCATAGAGATAGAAAGTAGATTGGTGGTTGGCACAGGGCTTGGTAGTTTTGGAAAATGGGGAGTGACTCTGCTGAAGAACACAAGGTTTCTTTTTGAGATGATGAATATGTTCTAAAATGCATTGTGAAGGTGGTTGCACAATTGTGAATATACAAAAAAACATTGAATTGTATGCTTTAATTTTTTTATTATTTATTTATTTATGATAGTCACAGAGAGAGAGAGGCAGAGACACAGGCAGAGGGAGAAGCAGGCTCCATGCACCAGGAGCCTGATGTGGGATTCGATCCCGGGTCTCCAGGATCGCGCCCTGGGCCAAAGGCAGGCGCCAAACCACTGCGCCACCCAGGGATCCCGAATTGTATGCTTTAAATGCATGAATGGCATGCTATGTGAATTGTAGCTCAGTAAAGCTGTTACTATGAATACTATATGAGATGACATTTTACACCCATTAGATTCACACACACACACAAAATTGTGACATCAACTGTCCATGCAGATAAAGAAAAATAAAAACCCATGAACATGACCAGTGGTACATTTTCTTTAGAGAACAATCTATCAAACTTAGCACTTTTTTTTTTTTTTAAGATTTTACCTATTTATTTGAGAGCGCACACAAGCAGAGGGTGGGGGGTGTCGCAGAGGGAGAGGGAGAAGCAGGCTTCCTGCTGAGCAGGGAACCTGAAACTGGGCTCGATTCTGCAGCTCCAGAATCATGACCAGAGCTGAAGGCAGATGCTTAACCAACTGAACCCCCTAGCTGCCCCAAACTTAGTAATAGAAAATACACAGACCCTATATGATCTAGCAACTTCACTTTTAGTATTTACCCTAAAGAAACCTGTCACACATGTACAAAAAAGGAAATACTGAAAATAGTTTATTATAGCACTGTGATAGTCAAAGGTTTGTTAATAGTGAACTAGGAAATCTGTGGGTTATTCATATAATACTGTATACCAGTTCAAATGAACGAATCAAATCTGTATCAGTGTGCTTAAATCTCAAACATAATATTGATTGATGAAAGTAAGTTGGAAAAATTCTATATATTTATGTAAACTTTAAGACACAAAACAACAATCTGTTATTCATGAAATCATACATGTGTACTTTAATAAAAACAGTGTAGAAATTATTACACTGACCTCAGAATGCTGGTTATTTCTGAAAAGGGACAGAGGAGAAATGGTGGAAGAGCATTAGTTCTTTGTGCAACATTTATTTTTTAAAAAGGAAGGACCTGAAGCAAATGTTAACATCTGTGAAAAATGAACAGTGGCTATGTGAACGTACGCTATGTCATTTTCTGTTTTTTTTTGTAATATATGAAATAGTTCATATTTTAAAGTGAAAAAATGATATCTGTATTCAATAATACCACATTTGGTTTTTGGCTAACTAACTAGTTTGACAGATTGGAAACTTATTTAAGTATGGTGCTGCTTTAAGATGATGGATGACTTTTCCAGCATAGCATCACTGCACAAAAGAATTTCAGGATCATTTAGCGGTTACGGGTTTATCAATCAGATTGCCATGACATGAATGTGAAAGGTTAGCAAATTCATGCAGGCTTTAAAGGAAAGAGCATTTGTTCACTCTTTATTCAGTGGTAATTGATGAAATCAGAAAAGTATAAAAATGGAGGAAATCATCATTCTTCTACAATTTAGTCATTTCTTAAAAACTTTTGGTGTAGACTTTTTCAAAAGGCTATGTATTTATACTGTTTTTCCCACTGTTGGAACACTGGACTTAATAGGTTAGAATTCAAATTTTCCTGTTGCCATTTATTAGTTATATGATGTGTAACACGTTACTCAATCTTTGTCACCCTCAATTTTGTCATCCATAAAATGAGTATAATTAAGATGAAATAATACTATTAATAAATATCACCTAGATAATAGATGTTATTTGAATCTTAAATTAGGTGAATCTTGTCTTCACAAACTTGCTATTATGGAGAAATGTACCCTTTTTGGATGTGTGACTTTTTATTTCTTTATTATAGAGAAATCCACAACTGATGATGAAGTGCAGAAATCAGACATCTCATCGAGCAGTCAGGGAGTGATAGAAAAGGAGTCCCTGGGACCTCTCCTGTTGGAGGTAGCTGTTCTCACTTAGTCACAAAATGATCAAAATCTTTGATCTAAGCCAATTTGGTTTTTTCTTTATCTTTTATGTTTTACTTCTAATTAATAAATTTTAAAACACAGTAAGTTTTCAAAACCTTTAATAATTGTTTTATAATCTATTTTGACAGTTATGGCTATTTCAGAATTAAATATGAATAATGAATATGAGAACTTTTCATAAAGGCATTCTATGTAGTCAGATGGAAAACTGAAGCCTGCTGCACAGCTCTGCCGTTTATTCCTGGAGTGGTTGGGACTCTTTGGGAGCATAAAACATTAGAATTTAGTTTGCTAGTGCTATCTATGTATATCTATGGTAAAATTTCACTTTTGAGTAAGGGATGCCACACTTTATCAGAGTAGATGTTTTCCTAAAACGTTTCCTGATTAAAATTTTTAATTGTTTATGTAAATACTATAAGGGAACTTAATATTTTACCAACCCTCTCCTAAACTTTTTAAAGTGAAGAACCTTGAAACTTGAATAATCTTGTAATTATTGTCATTTTCTCCCCAGCTTTTCCTGTCTAATCCTCACTCCCTCTGTTCTCAATGCAGATGTTTTATTTCCGAGCAAGCTCATCACCTCAAGTGCCCCCTCTCATACATGAATGTTTACGAACGTGTGTGTGGACACACTCATTCCCTTCAGAGTATGCCTTTCTGTCTCTAGGCCTAGTTTCATTTGTACACTTACATGAATACATATACATACATATATATACACATAGACACATATTTTATATATTTTTAATATATTTTGTATAAATAATAAATTCTCCTTTTCTTGTCCTGCTTGAAGGCCCTCCTTTCTGGTGAAGTCTTTCTGACAACTCAGACTTGTATGGGTCTCTTTATGTTCTAGCTCCCGTATACCTTTTCCCCTATTACCCCAACTAATTGCTCTTTTTTTATTATCCATAATTCTCTCCGCCAATACTGCTAATGTGAGAATATTCTGAAAATTCAGTTCTTGGCTTTTCTAGCCCCAGAAATTCTTTGTGTGCTCTTTGCTTTAGGAGATGAAACCTAAATATGTACTTCTTGTTCTAACCCTTCACATACTCTGTTCCTTTATTTTTAACAGGCTGCTAAATATTTTTTACTCTCCTATTAGCAGTTCGCCCTCAGAATCTAAATTCTTCATTTTCCCTTCATGTGACACAACCACTGTATTACTTACACTGTCAGTTTTAATGATTTTTACTAAGGAAATGCACGTATTTTGTAGATTGTAAAAAATATATAAAGACATAGGTCATTGAAACTGAACAGAAATGACTGCTATCTGAGAGTGTGTATGCATACAGGATCAAGAGGGGATGCTAATCATACCTGATCGAGTCCGACAATTTTTATTATATCCTCTTCATAACCTACTGAATTGAGTGTGTGACACAGGACCATATTTTGGAAACAGTGTTGTAACAAGTAAGGTAAAAATGTTTATGGTAGAATCTAGGTGGTGAATGTATGGATGTTCACTACAGAATTCTTTCAAATTTGCTATATTTTGAAATTTTAAAATGGAAGCTATTAGAGGAAAATATGTTAAAGAAAGAAAAGTAACTTTTGGTTTATTTCCAACTTCTACCACATCTCCTTGCCCGGTCTGGCACGTCACCGGCCCCCTGCTTGAGTACCCTTGGCACTTCCTGGAGACCTGCTCTTCCCCAGCATTTACTGCCTATCTCTTCTACCCCACAGGATGTTAGTAGACTAATTCTTGCATATTGCCCAGTTTTCCTGTGTTGGTTCTGTCTGCCTTCTCAGTGCCAAGTTTAAAGCTAGGCTCAGGACTCCTTTGGATTCATTAAATATTTTATTGAATTTATTTTCTGCATATAATGTCTTTTGAGATACTAAGAAGTGTAAGGTGGTACAAGTTGTTGAGATTTTGGGGGTTCCTGTAGGAAAATGGTGATCACTTAAATCCTAGCTTCATCATACATTCTTCAGAAACTTCAGAGGTCAACATGGAAAGCAAGTAGATTACCAACAAACCGAACACATCACACCTGGAGATAGAGAATATTACTGCTGTTTTAATTTATGTAAACATTCATTATTGCTGTGTGAGACAAGTCCACAACACTTTAACATGAAGAGGAAATGACAGGAAAATGTCCATTCAAAGCTACTATAAAAAGAAAACAAAGTAGGAATTATTTCTTTTAGCTGATGAAATTATTACCTGAAAACCACTGTGAATCAAGGAAAAGCTGTAACACAGTATCACACATGATTTAGAGGCCATCAGGCAAGCAAATTCAAATATGAAAAAGCACATCAAGTTAGAAATTCTGAAACCTCAGAATAGAAATATATTTAGGTTCTTGACTTCAAGGAGCTAACAGTATTTTCATTAGCTATAGATATGTGAAACAGACTTCAAAATAGAATTACTAACTTTTACAGACTTGAACACTGCCTCCATCAGCAGCTTTTTCTCTGCCTTCTTCTGCATCCCCCAATCTTGTCCTCATTGCCTTAAACTTTATATAATCTAATCCAGAGCAGCTAGGAGAAGTGGTGAAAAGCCATCATGACACTGCCCTTGGATTCATTCAGGCAGTCTAGAGCTTCACTACTCAGGAAGATAGCCACTAGCTACACATGTCTATTCAAAGTTAAATAAAATTAAAAATTCAGTACTTCATCCTCACCAGGTACATGTAACATGCTCAGTGCCCACATGTGGTTAATGACTACTGTATTGGACACACAGATACAGAACTTTTTGCAATGACAGCAAGTTCTCTTTGGCAGCATTGATCTAGAGGGACTTGCTTAGATAGAAGATGTGCACATCTAAAAAGTAACCAATTATCAACCATCCTATGAGGAATTCTCAGAATATATTTTTCCAGTTATTCCCCCCTTTTATTTATTGTTTAAAATTTTTTATTTATCAGAGAGCAGAGCAGGCGAGAGAGAACACAAGTGGAGGGGGAGGGGCAAAGGGAGAGAGAGAGAAGCATATTCCCCTCTGAGGAAGAAACCTGACAACAGGGGGGTCCGGTCGATCCCAGATTCCTGGGATCATGACCAGAGCTGAAGGCAGAGGCTTAACTGACTGAGCCCCAAGGTGCCCCTCCCCCTTTTAAACATAAAGTAGTATGAGTTAAGAATGAAGATACTGGAGGTGATTTCCTCATATTTAAAAGGAGAGTGGAGTTAGACTTTATTCAACAAATATTTGTTGCTTGACACATAGTAAGTACTCCTGCATTTTTTGTCGTCCTCATTGTCCATTGTTTCTACTGTCTGAATTTCCCTACCTCTTATTCAAAACTCTGCGTTATCTGACTCTAGCTTCTTATCTCCCACTGCTTCCCAAGAAAAATTCTGTTTTAGTCATGGAGGTTTCCCTACCTTCCTCAGCATTCAGGCCTCCTAACCTCACTTTGTGCCATTCCCTGCATTACAGTGTGCCTCTTGACCACCGTTCACCACCCAGTCCCGCTTTATTAAGACTCTTCGTGTTGTATCCTTGACAAAACTATCTCCTCTCCAGCTACTTCTCAGCCTCTCCCTCAAATTTCTCTTTCTTCACCTGCCTTGTTAATGTCTGCATCCTTCAGGGTTCTGGCCTTTGCTCTTTTCCTTTTTGTTATCCCATGCACATTTCCTGGGTACTTTTGTCTACGTCTGTGTCTGTGTCCTGTGATATATTTGTGTACATGTGTGTGCATGTAGGTATGTATAAATTATCATTTAGGGTACTTGGTTTTCAAGCAGCAGACACCAATTCTGACTAAATTAAGCAAATGTGAATTTATTGGAGTGCTATTTGGATACCACTGAACCATAATTGGAAATAAGATAAAACCAGCCTCTTACTCTTAAGGACGCTAGAGAGCGGATAGGATATGAACAGTCTCCTAGAAAGACCCATCAGGAGTGCCCTGCTGCTAGGATGAACGCATTCCTGCCATGTTTGTTCTTTCTCTAATTTTCCTCAAGGTCCCCATTCAGATTGGAAGTCTCCATTGGCCTGATTAAGAATCTCCTGAGACTTTATTTAATGGGAAATAAGTAGAAAGTAAGTCTCCAAAGGAAATCAGATATTCTGTGGAAGGAAAAAAGATGATCATAGTTAAGAACAAATAAACAGAAAACCAGATGATTCCATATGTACCTGTAAATTGCAAATGTCTATCTTTAGCTCAGATCTCTTTTCAGAATTTTACTCTATCTTGCTACCTTTTAAACATCCCCATTTGAATGTTCCTTAGTCATTTCATATATATTTTTTCTTTTTTTCTTTTTTCTTTTTTTTTTTTTTTTTTTTGAGAGAGAGAAAAAGAGCAGGCGCAGGAGGGGCAGAGAGAAAGAGAGAAAGAAAATCTTAAGCAGCAGACTCCCTGCCCAGAATGAGCCTGACTCGGGGCTCAGTCTCACAATTCGGAGATCGTGACCTGAGCCAAAATCAAGAGTCAGATGCAGTCCACCCAGGTGCCCCTCAAATATAACATTTCTAAAACTAAATTTACAATGTGTCCCTTTACCTCTGGCTTAAAAATATGAGGGGAAAAAAGTAAAAATAAATAAATAAATAATAAAATAAAATAATAAAATAGTAGATTCAGAAAAAGGCACTTATATACCAGGACTCTTACATCATTAGTGAAGGATCTCCCTAAATGCTCATTTCCACAGCTGCAAGAGGTCACCAAACGCTATTTGTTCTGCCTGTGTCAAATTCTCTTCTGTCACTTCCACTGCTGTTGCCTTAATGCGGGCTCTCATTTGAACTGGAGTATCACAACAGCATTGCAACTGTTCTTGCTTTCAGTCTGCACGCCAAACCTACTGCCAGAACGATCTTTACTAAAGCAGATCATGTCACTCTTGTGCTTAAAACCGTTGCCTTCAAAAAAATGCCCATTGCCTTTAAAATAAGTTTCTTATTTTTTTGTTTTTGTGGAAGATTAAAAAAAAACGCATTTTGCTGTTATATATAACACAGATAGTAACAAGTGCATACAAGGTGATTTTGTTTTTTGAATTCTGGTCTGTTTCCTCTGTTATGAATGTCCTTTCCATCCCTTATCCACCTGAGTTACTACTCCGTATCCTTTAAGACTTCTCTTGGGTGTACTGTGGCCTCCTCCCAGTAGTCCATACCAAAAACAGTAGCTCCTTTGCCCATTTTGAGTGCTTCACTCTGTGCTTAACCTTTTTGAATTCCTCTTTGTACTATATTATAGCTATGCGTACTTGTCTTTTTCCCTTCAGAGACCATAAAATTGTTGAGAATTGTGTGTTTTATCTCAGAATTTTTGTATGTTAACTAGCATGTAGGTGATAGTGAAGCTTATGGGGTGATATAAAGCCAAAGCCCTGTGAAAAGCCTTGGCCAGTGTGGACCCTGCCATGAAACACTGGGGGGTCAGGAGAGAAACCCCTCTGTTTGCTAATGTGCTGAATGGATGGATGTTTGTTACCATCTGTGTGCAGCTTGGTGGAAGACTGACTGCCAGGGCATGGAGAAACAGAAAGATTCCTTCCCAGAAGCACCTTGGAAGTTAATTATATGCACAACATACAAGGGAAACTTGTAGAATAAGAGATTATTAGCAGATTATAGTAGTCATACTTCAAGAAATTAGAGATGTTTGTATATTCATAGGAATAGTCTCAAAGAATATTCCCTGAAATGTTACCAGTCTTTTGGGGGTGAGATTTTGGCAGATTTTCTACTATTTCATTTTTCTACTTAAGCAGTTTTTATAAGTATATATATATATCAACTGTAATTAGAAAAAAAAAAAGGCATTTCCAGCAAGAGACAGGCTGTCTGCATCCCAGAAGTAGGGTCAGCAGGACAACTCTGCAACCACGAGGGAGCCTTTGTAGACCTGTTTTCCAAGCCAGCCTTTTCTGGGGAAGCTCAAAAGAAATATGCCCCAGACTTCCCAGAGGAAACAACAAGTCCATGTAACTGAGGCCAAGCAGAGAGAGACCTGGTGAAAGTTCTTCACTCCCTGTAAGGCAGATCAGCTGCATTTTTCCAAAAGCCAGTTACTAGAATAACCCCCCAGCCTGGCAGTAAAGTGAGGTACAGTCAATAGGAGGAGAACTTGGAGAAGCCCCAGTGGGTCTGTGGAAAGGATACTACAGGTGCTCCAGGCCTACTATAATAAAGGAGAACTTTGGAGTCCTTTGATTTTACAGATACTTTAAAAATAATTACACCAAATAGTCCGGGTGAATACATAGGTGCTGGATACTGAGCCCACTGTTGGCTGGTCTTCAGACTGGGCAGAGATGATCCCAGAAGTGGGTCTTGTTCTCTCCCATTCCCTCTGCAGTTAAAAAGCAACTTCCAGAGACAGACATAGAAAGTGAAGAAAGCAAAGGAGAGACTAACTGTGGCTTTGAGGATAAACAGGGTCACCAGGGAGGTAGAGAGGGAGGAACCAAGAAGGAGGCACTGAAAACTAGCTGATTATAGAGGCTGGGTAGTGTGGCCCTTGCAGTTGGCTCACCATGGAACAACCAGACTTTGCTTGCCTGTCTTGATGTCAATACTGTTTCTTGGGGCAGCCCGGGTGGCTCAGCGGTTTAGCGCCACCTTCAGCCCAGGGTGTGTGATCCTGAAGACCCGGGATCGAGTCCCACGTTGGGCTCCCTGCATGGAGCCTGCTTCTCCCTCTGCCTGTGTCTCTGCCCCTCTCTCTCTCTCTCTCTCTCTCTCTCTCTCTCTCTGTGTGTGTGTGTCTCTCATGAATGAATGAATGAATAAATAAATCTTTTTAAAAAATACTGTTTCTTGCTCTAAACTATGACACAGTTATACCCACACTGTTCTTTATTAAACTTTAAGAGACCAAAAATAATATAAGTGAAATTATATTTATACAGATTCAATTAATAGCTAAGAACAATTTAAGTAATTTTGGATCTACTTTTAAATAATTGATACAGCTGTATTTCCATTGTTTCTATTTTCACAAAAACCATAAGGCAAATAATATGTATTGATCATCTGCTATGAAATTGATAGCTAATTTAATTTTTAAAAACCCAAACAAGGGATCCCTGGGTGGCGCAGCGGTTTGGCGCCTGCCTTTGGCCCAGGGCGCGATCCTGGAGACCCGGGATCGAATCCCACGTCAGGCTCCCGGTGCATGGAGCCTGCTTCTCCCTCTGCCTGTGTCTCTGCCTCTCTCTCTCTCTGTATGACTATCGTAAATAAATAAAAAAAAATTAAAAAAAAATAAAAATAAAAAAAAAAATAAAAACCCAAACAAAATGATTAGTTAGAAATGAGGGTGCTTTCCTATCTGTGTTCTTGTAATCATGAAATAGGTTAGCAAAGGGTTTATCTGATGGTGAGGTTTTTAGATCATTAATTATATCCCTAGGTTTTTATTGAAATTCCATCTTTTTTTTATCTCAATTGGTGATTCTTCCAAAGTAATCAAAAGGTGTTGCATTTCCACATTTAAAAAAAAAATGAGTTTAAAGCCTACTGAAACTGGAAGATTTTTGAGCAGGTAAAAAGTCCTGTTTTTAACATTTTACACAGAGAAGAAAATTCTTACAGGTAATTCTCATCATTTTGGCGACAAAGTCACAACTAAGGTAACATTTCAAAACATGCATTTTCATGTTCTGTCTCTGTAGCGTAAGTGTCTTTTTGAAAGGCAGTTTACTTTTTCATTGTTTAAATTTCATCTTTACCCTGGATAGACAAAATTAAGTGTGTTTGTTATTTGGAAAACATCTGCTAGGTAACTTATTATCATAACCACTTGTCATCATAGAAAAGGTCAGCAAATTTGGAACACTTGCCTTTTTAAAAAAGAAAAATGAATAAGCCATGACATTATTAGCTCTTTTAAGAATTTTTACCACAGATAACTAGCACACTTATGTGAGACATGAAGGATTTTCATGGTCATTTTACATCTTGTTACAAAATCCTAGAAATGTACTGTTTTCCAAAGGTCTTGTTTCTACTGCTTATGCATATTCTATAGCAAGTAAACTGTAGTGTATAACAATAAATTGTTATATATAACCATATATCTATACTTATATATATATATATATATATATATATATATAAAACCAATTAAAAAGGTTATATATAAGTAGGGTGCAGTCATCAACCTCTACATTCTGGATCTTCTGTCAGGAATCCATGGTTTGCGATATGTCTGTCTGGACTGAGTTGAGGTATCAGGGTGTCAGCATGATTTATTAATCTTAATTTCTTCTTTGTATTTTAGATTACACTATAAATAGAGATTCTAACTTTTTCCCTGCACCTCTGGATTTAATGCTCCCCTTAGGGTATATATATCCTTTAGGAGACCCCTAGCTCTGTATCAGAGCATAGAAGGGCCCTCTGTGATTTGGCTCTTATCCGCCTCTCCAGATTTATTTCCTGCCATGAGCCTATCTTATACCATGTACTCCAGCAACTCTAAACGGCTTTTTTGTTTCTTAATGTGCCACACTCTCCCCTTTGCCTAGACTGTTCTTCCCTCATTCCTCTTCCTCTCCTCCTATGTCCTGTAGAACTCAGGTAGGGGTCTGCAAACAGCCTTTCTTTGTTTCCCACCCCAACCTCAAGTTAGGTGTTTATCTTTGTGCTCATAGAATATTTGGTGTATGTTTCTGATGCTGCATTACTGGTATTTTATTATATTTATATCTCTGTAGCACTGTACCATAGGTTCTTTGAGGGTAGAAACCAGGTCTTAACCTATAGTTGAGAGATGCTTATGACTGTATGAATATCAATTATTTGCTTCACATCTGCTACCATGTGTCTCTCTCAGAGGGTTGATACACTCATTCATGTCTGCTGTTTATTACTGTATAGTCTGTTTCAAAATCATACCCCTTCTACAGAGAACATGCAGTATTAAATCTTCTATTAAGTATTAAATCTTCTATTAAATCTTTTTTAACTTGCCATATTTTTTTATCTTTTTCAATAGAGAAATGTGTTATGTTTATTTTTCTTTTATATTTTTAACCTTTCAATCCCTTAATTTTTTTTTTTTTTACTTTGCAGGCTTTGGATGGATTTTTCTTTGTTGTGAACTGTGAAGGGAGAATTGTATTTGTGTCAGAGAATGTGACCAGCTACTTGGGTTACAATCAGGAGGAATTAATGAATACCAGTGTCTACAGCATACTGCATGTAGGGGATCATGCAGAATTTGTGAAGAATCTGCTACCAAAATCACTAGGTACAGAGCAATGTGTTTTTTTAAAAAAAATATGAACTCCCTATAGCAATTATTCTTCCATTATACAGTAATTATATTTATAATACATAGTATTATTCTGAAATATGTTATATTAAAAATATTTTTAAATTTAATTTCAGCCCAATATGTAAATATGAAGGGAGGGTATCATCAAACAAGTGATAGCATTCCTTTTATCCTGTTCCTCTTGTTATGCCCTAATCATGTGACAGTAATGAGAAGCAGAGCAGTCATCTGCCTTGCCACCAGAAGCTTCTGCTTGAAATTACCTGTTTTTAATTTTGATTATGTCCAAGAAAGTGACAAATGTATATCCTTCCCACCACCCTGCTCAAAAGGAAAAAAAAGGGAGTGAGTGAAAAAATACTATCATGTTATATATGTATTAAAATGAACATTTTTGGAGATCAGTAGTTTCAACTCAGAAGTTCCAAATATAGTTGGACAGATTGCTGACAAAAGAGTCTAGCTGAGAGGATGGATGGAGTCTGATTTCTAGCCTCTGTTCATTTGCTAAACCCTGTGCCTATTCCTTAGCCTATGTGTGCTCTAAAAGTAAGGGGAGGGCATTGGCTAGAAATTCTATATAACTAAACCACACATGCAAATAAAATGTTAATCTGTACCTCTTTATTTTCTATGTTATTCACTCAATAGGATAGAAGCTTTATTTCTTCTTTGAAAAGAGTACTATGTGTTTATAGTACCTAGAGGCCTGAAATGGTTACTTCTATTAAAATCACTAGTTTGATATTTGAATTATCAAGGGGTCTTTGGTGTTTTGTTATAGAATTTTAGAGTATAAATTACTTTAGAGATAACATAGCACATTCCTTTATTTTAAAGATGGTGCAGAGATAAAGTAATTAACCCAAACCTCATAGCTAGCTCATAGCAAAACCAAGACTTCTTCCTCCAGTATAGGTTTGTTTCCATGATTTTCTCTAACAGTTACAGGCTGATGAAATGTTTAAAAGGAAGGAGGGTCAGTGAGGAGGATAAAGTAAGAAAACTATTGGGAATGGTGAGAGGAGAGCCTTTTTAAAAACCCTCTGGAAAAAAAAATAAAAAATAAAAAATAAATAAAAACCCTCTGACTGTCACCATGGTTTGAACATAACATTGTAACTGGGATATAGTGACCCATCACACAGTGATGATCACTTGAAATATACAGACATCTGGGGCAGCCCGGGTGGCTCATTGGTTGAGCATCTGCCTTCAGCCCAGGGTGTGATCCTGGAGACTTGGGATCGAGTCCCACGTTGGGCTCCCTGCATGGAGCCTGCTTCTCCCTCTGCCTATGTCTCTGCCTCTCTCTCCCTCTCTCTCTTTCTGTCTCTCATGAGTAAATAAATGAAATCTTAAAAATATATATATATATATATATATATATATACAGACATCTTTTCTATAACTGAATTCCATTTTCTTCTATCAAATCAGGCAACATTTATGTTTTAACAGTCATTTTTATATAATAGCTTTACATTTTTTATTTTTAAAATTTTTTAGAGAGGGAGGTAGTGAGGGGAGGGACAGAGAGAGAGAAATCATCTTAAGCAGGCTCCACACCCAGCATAGAGCCCAACTCAAGGCGCAGTCTCACAACCCTGAGATCATGACCTCAGCCAAAATCAAAAGTCAGATAGATGCTTAACCGACTGAGCCAACCAGGTACCCCAATTTTTATGTAATAACTTATTGATTATCCACTATATTTGAGGCATTGTTGCATATAAAGTATGAGAAAAAATGGTTATAAGAAGCCAAGGTTGGTCTCTGTATATTATAAATATTTTTTGACTCACAGTCTCCTCTGAGAAACTTTGAATCCTCTCCCCAAAAAAGTGCACATTTTTACAAGCTCATCCTTAAGAATACATACCTGCCAGGTTAAAACTCCTGCTTTACATTGGATTTGTGGCTTCCAATCATTTTTTCATTTCCAGTTACAAATGGAAAAGTGTATTAATTAACTGCTATAAAAATCTGAGCAAAAGAGTAGTAAGCTGTTACTTTTTAATTTCTGCCCTTAACTGTTTATGAAGACTGTTATGAATTTGTAAGGCCTTATTTTTGAGGGGAGAAATCCTGCACAATCTCTTAAAAATTTTACAGTTTTGTAATTGTTAGACATTTATATTTGGTAAGAAATACAAGTATCCTGTTGCCTCAGGATAATGTTAGATGTGAAGAGATATGTCTTTTCATCTGAATATCTTATAAAGCAGATGGCTAAATGTATGTCTTTTGTATCTTCAGAGTTTTTCACCCTATTGGCGGACATATAATCAATTTTTCTCCCACAGTAAATGGAGTTCCTTGGCCTCAGGAGGCAACACGACGAAATAGCCATACCTTTAACTGCAGGATGCTAATTCACCCTCCAGATGAGCCAGGCACTGAGAACCAAGAAGCTTGCCAGCGGTACGAAGTCATGCAGTGTTTCACCGTGTCACAGCCAAAATCAATTCAAGAGGATGGAGAAGGTAAAACAAAGGGTGATTTTAAGGTGTTTGATCGCTTTTTCCATGGCTTTAAAGATCATGAGAGTAACTGATTATAAACAGTATTTTTCAGAGAGTATTTTTCGTCACTATATTATGTATCATAGTGGCTATTCAACTTACTACGTTATTTCTTAATACTTAAAAAAAATTGCCAGCACCTAGAATCACCCCTTTCATATGCCCCCACACTCTCAGTTTTAAGCTGGCATTCCCACTAAAATGTCAAATTCAAACCAACTTGCTGCCTAGAAATAAGAGACGTAGCTAACTGCTGCCAGTTGGAAATGTACCAGATGCAGCAGGCTGTTGAACAGCTCTGATTTTTAGAAAGTTTCAAGTTTAGAGTGTGGGGAACGTTGGAGAATGGAGTTAGCATTTTTGAGGCCATACAAGGTAATTTATAAGGAGAAAACTTATGAACAGATGAAAACACAGCTGACGCTCTAATAGGAACATGGTACCAACAGGGCATTAGTCAAATATGTGCCAGTGGATGAGTTTTCCATGTGAGCTAGCCTGAACTAAGGTCAAGACACCACAGATTAGAAACTGAAGGAAGGACTAGGGGAGGTAATAGATGAGAAATTAATTGGATACAAAAAAAGGCCATGCATGTAGCAGCTTTCATCTGCAAATGGGTGCCACAGTCAAGTGAGGACTTTTTACAAGATACACATGCCAGTGCCAGTCTGTCTTCTATGGTTGAAGTTCATGTTTAGCTGTGTGACATTCTGTGTAGCACTCAAAAATGGAAATGGGACTTCAAAAAAATTATAGATCCTAAAACATAAAATCCTCCATCAAGGGCAAAATAATGCTTCTTCAGAAAGAGTTAAGTGTTTTTCTCATATGGTAATTATTATCTGCATAGCGGTTGTTAAGAATAGTCTTTGTAGCCATTAAGTATTGATAAGCATAGGAAATTGACTAAAAACTATATTTAAAAAATCACTGTGTTCCTTTAATCTAGTGACAACCACTTCTTCAGGTTGCTATCATCCAAGTACATGAGATACATCTGTCTCCTCTGGTCTCTGTCAGAACATTCAATGGGAAGGGATAATTTATGCTAACTAGATCTCTACCCAGAGCTGCCAGTTTTTGGTTACAGGCAATTTTATCTCTAATATTATATTATTAGATCAGAGTAACTCCAGTATTATGTCAGATCCTATAACATATGTTGTTTTTATGAAAATCATTAATGGCAAATGATAGATGTGAACTGTTTTCTGCCTTCTTTTCTTCAACTTCCCCTTATCTTGTCTTGGGCAGATTTCCAGTCATGTTTGATTTGTATTGCACGGCGATTACCTCGGCCTCCAGCCATTACAGGTGTTGAATCCTTTATGACCAAGCAAGATACTACAGGTATTAACTGCAAAGTTTAGATTTACATCCAAAATTTTGTGTCCTTTTGTTGTCTGCTATTTAGCTTCTGTTCACTGGTCTTATACAAAAAGTATTTTAAATGATGGTCTTGATATTGTGTATTTTATTTTTTTATTTTATTAACTTTTAAAGATTTTTCTTTTAAGCAATCTCTACACCCAGCATGGGGCTTGAACTCACAACCCCAAGATCAAGAATTACACACCCTACTGACCAAGCCAGCCAGGGGCTCCATTTATCTTGTGCATTTTAGATGCTGTAATCATTGCCATTGGCAGGGTTGTGGGGAGAACATTATAGCTATTCACATATTGTTTTGGTTATAAATTATTTTTCATAATCATGGAATAAAATTTTTAAAGAAATTTGGCAATGTAGATGTAAGTATATTTATTTATAAATGATGTTTTTAAAATTATGCTTCAATGTATCTGACTATTTCTTTTCCCTTCCCCCCTTTAAAAAATATATATTCAGGACATATTGATTAAATGCCTAGAAGTGCCTGTCACTGTGTGTGACTGCTCAGGGTGTACATGACTGAGCAGAAATCAACAGTGTAATTACAAATTGTGGTATGTTTTACGATGGAAAAGGTATGAGATAATAAAAGTGAGACTAATAGGGAGAACCTATTTTTAAATTTGCTGGTTAACTAATGCCTACTGAGGAGCTGATATTGAGCCTAAGCTCCAAAGAATGAGGTCATGCCAACTCTGCAAAGTGTGGAAGGGGTAGCAAGGAAGGGTCATGATGCAGCATGAACACTCCTGATTGAGGAAGGAGAGCCAGCTGCAAAGACCCATGGGAAAACAGTCAAGTGCTTTAGAGAAACCAAAAGAAGGGCAATAGAGCCCAAAGTAAGTCATGGTAAGAGTGCCAGGGAGTCAGTCAGGCCTTCTTTGTAAGGGCCTACTTTAGATTTAATTTTCAGCCAAAACAAATTGTTACCATTCTTAACAATTTTCTATAGTATTTTTTATATGTTATGTAATCTTATCTTCACTTTAACACATCAAGTTTCATATTTTTACATCAGAGTTACTTAAATATCACCTCTCATTTTAAAATAGGGATAGATACTGCGAGATATTTTTTAGCAGACCAACATTTAAAAAATTATTTCTACTATATTTTATTCTATGTGAAAGTTTAGTTTTAATGTACTTTTTGACTTTTGCCATTATTTATAACATTTATTAGTATTTGTTACAATATTTAATAGTTTTTTAGTCCCAGAAATCTAATATTCCTGTTGTGTGCTTTATTCTTGTGTTTTTAAAGATAAGCTCCCAGCTGCTCTTACTGAAGAGTAGGTGGGGATAAATTAGCACTAATAACAGAGTATAGTAAAGAAAATGTCTAGGACTTAGAGATATGGCATCCGTACATAGTAATTATCCCTTACCATAACTTTCTTCATTCCTTCTTTGAGTCTTCCATCTACATGTCCTTTTCCATTTTCCACCAATGAACAGCTCTGGAAAAATTTAATAACCTTTATTGAAAACCAAAAATACTAATGCATGGAGAAAAAATAGGGTCCACTGAAAATGTAATTGGTCTTTTGGGTCACTAAAACCAAGTAAGGGCTTATGAGCAGAATAAAAGCTTGGTAGAAAGGGTGGTAGTCAGGCTACAAAATAAATGGAGACAAAGGAGGCCTAAAAATTATGAGGATAATTTAGGAACAATATATTACAGCTTTTTCTTGTATTGCATTTCTATACATTGAATCTTAAATTGGATTATTTTTATAAATTTTTAAAAATTTGAGAGAGGGAGAGTGTGCACAAGTGGGGGGAGGGGCAGAGGGAGAGAAGCAGACTCCCTGCTGAGCACAGATCCTGCCATAGGGCTTGATCTCAAGACTGTAAGATCATGACCTGAGCCAAAATCAAGAGCCAGATGCTTAACTGACTGAGCCATCCAGGCACCCCTTAAACTGGATTAAAGAAGACTGTATTTTTCCACAGGAACAATGTTATTACTGATAGTTTTATTCCTGACCAAAGAACCAGGATTAAAATCTTAGATATATCTGATTTTGAGGTAAATGTATACAGATTTTAAAATTAAGCTCTGAATCATAAAATAATTATAAATCTAGAAGGAACCTCAGAGATCACAGATTCTAGCCCACTCATTTAACAAATGATAGAATGGTGACTTTTCCAAAACCATACAGCTAATTGCTGAGAACAGACATCCTTAAGCCCTCTTGCTTTATATTGCATTGCCTTTCACCAAAGCACTATTACAAGGACATCACTCTACTGCACACACTTATTACATAAAAGATACCAGAGGAAATGTAAAATATAAGGAAAATAGAAAGGTGCCAAAGAAATAGTGTTCTTAAAATGTAAAGAACATTTTATTATAGTATCATCAAACTGATATAGATAAAAATTAATAAACTAGTTGCAGTAAGTATTAGATATTTAATTCCTTAAATTTTAGTAGTAGTTTTAATTCTACATGGGGTGGTTCATTTCATGTCCTTTTAAAAGAAAGTCTTCTACCAAGAAATGTTGTACAGTGGCTTACCTGTTGGTTTGGTTGGTTGGTTAAACTTTCAAATCAGCCTGTTCATGATTTTCTAAGATAGTCACTGCATTACCTAATTATTTGTTACCATTACTAATAATTTGATCACTTTCTCCCCTCCGATTAGTACTGACATGAATACATAAACATGAACACACACACACACCCCACCCTTAGTCATTGGCCCTGAGAAGCATTGTTGCATGTGAAGATCCATGTGACAGTTGATTCTCTGCTATAACCAACTCTTGACCTCTGATGTAATAAGAGGCAAAGAGTAAAAAATTATAATTCTTAGAAAATCTGTAATTGTCTATAGTTGCAATTAAGTGTTCACCAGGCTTTCCACAAACTATTCTTAAATAACAAAATTCCTTTATTTAAGTGTGAATTTCTTTCCTTTCTACCATTTACGTTCTTACCAAAACTTGGGTGACAGCCTTATCAGACAGACTCAGATATATCAGATTCAAGACTCTGAGTTAAAGAGGCCTAATAAATTTATTTCCAAACAAACCAAGTGAAATATATAAAGAAGGGGTTAGTTAAAATGAGGATGCACAAAAAGTACAATAGGTTTGAGTTGATTGTAAGAAGAAGGAAGATAAAAAAGATAAGTCAGTGATTCACAGAAGAGGAAACGTGAAAAATACTTAACCTCATGAGTTAGGAAGTACAAATTTAGATCATAAACATTTTTGACCTACTAATTGTAAAAAGTAAAGAAGCCTGACAGTACCTCAAGTGATGGAGATGATGTTGGATTAATAGTAACTCTTATATAAGTTTCTGGGAAACAGTTTAATGTTATAAAGTTGGACATTCACATAACCTATGACTCAGCTGTTCTGTTCCTACATATGTACCCTAGAGAAACTCTCAAACACATGCCACCATGAAAATGTAGACAGTGTTTGCAGCAGCATTGATTGTAATAACAAAAAGCAATACGATTTAGATGTCCCTTGATAGGAAAGTATAAAAACAGAGGGATATGACAGGTGAGGATACACACATAATGGAATGGTATAGGTTATGTTCAAGTTCTGAAATTGGATGGTAGGTTTGCAGATTTTCATTTTATTAATCTAATTCATATATATCTTACATATGTTATGTTAATAAAAGATTGCATAAAGAAATAAAACAAATCTAGGTAATCCCAAACTAAATGAATTGGCCCCGGCTAACTAAGGAATAATTTTCCTGAATTCTTCCATAGCCATTTAGGAAATTTGTTCAAATATGCTAACAGTAGCAAATCGCCACTACATTTTATAAAGCATATGTTCTTTGTGCAGAATGTCTAGCCAGTCTTAGTGCTCTCACTTGTTATCTTTTTCTGATTTAACTTTTATTGTCTTCAGTCTTTGTTTACTCTTAAATGCAATATTGCCTGTGGCCCAAGAGGAAGTACAAAAGGAAAGTCTTGCTTACTTTCTCATATTCTCTTCACTTTGTTATTGGAAATGAATTTAAACCAAAATATATTTCATCTCTGTCTCTCCTTTCCCAATAAGTAATCTAGTCATTTAGTATATAGAGAGTAGAATCCAAAGAGCAAACCAGAGGAGTTGGATTTTCATTAGTCTGTGCAGCTTCAGGTCTTAATGGTACAACTGTAATACTTGACTGGAATCGAATTTTAGAATATGATAAATATATTACACATTCCAAGACCAAAACAGATTTTATTATCATGTAAGTGTTATATACACTGTTACCATATGTAATAAAAATTAATGGTGTTTATTAATGGTTTTGTCCATTAAGCATTTAGGGGCAGCAGCAAATTTCTTAGATATAGTTGTTGATTTTGAAATATGGGTGACTTACATCAAGAAGCTATCACAAATGTAAACTTCTGTTTTTCATGTAGGTAAAATCATCTCTATTGATACTAGCTCCCTGAGAGCTGCTGGCAGAACTGGCTGGGAAGATTTAGTGAGGAAGTGCATTTATGCTTTTTTCCAACCTCAGGGCAGAGAACCGTCTTATGCCAGACAACTATTTCAAGAAGGTAAAGTTTTTTCTCTTGATTATTTGTATTGACCTTTTTATTAATATGAAGTAAATTGTATAGAACTTATGGCTTGATAAGTATTTTCTCCAAATTACAGTTTTTGCAATAATCAGTTTTAGGAAAGGAAGAAATGGGTAAGCAAAGTAATTCATGAGTGGATCCTGAATTTGGGATGCACATTTTAAAGAACAGGGTATCATGTGGTGGTCACTCACTCACTCATTCATTCATTCATTCATTCAGCAGACATGTATCAAGTTCCTCACATACATAGACCACTATGTCAGGTGGCAGAGATACAGCGATGGCTAAGAAGCAGGGTTTTGCCCTCAAGGAGCTCAAAATATATTAGGACAATAAATGACTTTAAATATCAGTGTCATATGAGCTTATACCCAGAGGTATAACCAAAGAAGAAAAAAAAAACTAATTCTGGCTTGGAGAATCAGGGATGGCTTCAGAAATGAAGTAATAATGTCGTCTGACTTTTGAAGATCATTCCCAGCAGAAAAGGCATGTGAAAGGACTTCTAGATAATACAGAAATCTGTATCTCACAGGTTTACTTCATTACTGTTATGGTACCTGTATCACTGGACTCAGGATGAAGTTTGGAGTTAAAAATATGTCATATTAAATTAAGAACTGTGTATATGCTATGTCATAGTACTCTAAGAGATAAAGTAAATTCCCTGCCCTTAAGGAATTTAATCATATTACAGGAAACACAGGGAAAATTATTTGAGAAAGTTCATAGAGTTTCAGAAGTGAGGGTTTTGATATACTTTAAAAATATTGTTACATAATTATGTTAGCCTAGTACTCCATTCTCTGTATAATTTATTCTCTATTCTCTAATAGTTTCTTTGAAGAGTCTCTTTGTATGGCTCTTCCTGAAAAATAGTTTAAAAAATATTTTTCAGTGTTCCATCAACCTTCTTAATTTTAATATTTCCTGTAATATTACGTTTCCTAACTTTATAGATGATTTTTCCATTTATTATATTTTAGGTCAACTGCTTTCTGGTGGTATGTGGAGAGGAAGCAGCTTGTTTTGTTTTGTTTTGTTTTTTTCCTGGAAGCCATCTATCTATTCTGAATCTCATTAGTCTGATTGCTTCTGGAACAACTTCCTACAGACTCATAGTTCTCCATTGGGCCTCTTACTAGACTGATACCTTCCCCAAAGATGGTATTTCAGTGGATAGGACCAAGAACCTACATTTTTTTTAAAGTTTCCCGGCCATCCTGGTGCAGTCAGGTTTGGAAACCATTGCAATAAGCAACTAATGCCATTTATTGGTTACAAACTTCATGATTCCCTCTACCAAGAATGGCACTTGACTTTCGCATAAGTTTGAGACTCAGAGCACTATCTTCATTCACTGCCAAAATGCTGAAGTATATTATACTGTTTGGTTTTCACCTTAACTTTTTAAGTTGGGCCTCCCAAGACTTTATTTGGAAGACTTTTAATTAATTTTATTTTCCTATAATTTACACATACTTCCACCTAGGCAAAACAGATCTAGATTACTGTCTTATTCTCTAAATGATTAGATTCCCTATGGATGTGACTGAACCACAGTTGATATGTTTCTAAATCATTAGAATTCTCTATAAAAATACTGATTAAAGTATAACAAGTACCTCATTAATATATGAAGTAAAACAATTTAGAGTAAAATGTAAGATAATATAATTCAACACCTCTTCCCCATTAGTCATTTCTTCATGTCCTTTTCTTCCACTTCTTTGGGAAGAAAACATTCCTCAACAGAGAGAACTTGTGTTTTTCTCAGCACTGTTGTCCAGAGTTCACATGACTCTTATTATATAGTTTTGGAGAATCTGGTCAATTTGCCTAAAAGTGTGCATGGATTGAACAGATCTTTTTTGGTATTTCATATTCAGCAGTATCTAACCTGGTAAGAAAACTGTACCCCATGAAACTCTTACATGGGGATCATCTGTTAAAGATATTGGCATGCTGAATTGCAGCCTCCTGTGAGGGCCCAGGTATCGGAAGCTCCAAAGGCAGTGCTTAAGTGTACATCAAGTGTGAGATCCATTGGTCTGTCAAGAGTCGGGGGAGGTATAAGTTTGTATTTGCAGTTTCATTACTCCCTCTTCACATAAGGGTCTGGGTGAAAAGAGTGAAATTATGTCACTGTGTGAAACTTGACTTTGTATGAAACTTTAAAAAAGTTAAAAGTTTGTAAAACTATAGTTTTTGAGTCTTTTTTTTTTTTTAATTTTCCTGCCCATTAACTTACTCTTTGAAGGCAGTGACTGGTAGAAAATCCTAATATGTATTAAACTTTAAGTTAGTTCTTAGCTTAGTTTTTTAGCTGCTTTTGTCAGAGATGCTCATGGACTGCTTTTAAAGGGAGTTTACTATTTTATTTTCCAGAATCAAATTTGGAAAGAAGCCCCACATTTCAGCCTAAGAATATGTGGGCATTCATCATGAACTAGGTTATAGTAGTGGTTCTTCACTGAGTTTAGGGGGGAAGGAATATCAGGATCACCTGAGGAACTTTTTAAACTAGGAGGAGGTCTGTGTTAGGTGTGTATGGTTTGGAAAAGTTTTCCAGGTTCAGTTGGATTGAGAACCATTCCTTTAAGAAAGTTTTAGGTTAAATGCTTCCCAAGGGTCCTTGATAACATTTATCCAGGGCAGTTGTTAAACCAGATTTCTGGACTGCACCCACACTACAGAATCAGTCTATAGTCTAAGATGTTTTCTGGGTGAAAAGAAATTTGGAAAACATAAACCTACATTCCACAAGATATTAATAGCTGTAACTAAAGAATGATGTTTCATGCTGAATTAAGTTTGGGGAATGTTTCAGTTTCTCACTCTTGGGAATTCATAAGACATATAAAGTAAGTTTCTGGGAGGTAAAAGTACCTGTTTGACTTTGTTATCCAGACTTCTTTTTCCTCAGAATACTTATTCCTATAGCACATCTATCAGCACTTGGGGAGAGTAGCAGTCATGGGAATGTTAACATAGCCTAGGAAAGTTTTATAAAAGTTCTGCTTACCTATTATCAGTGATGTAATGGATCATCATTTCTTTTCTTTGAAAGATGTCCATGATATATTGTTATATTGAAAAATAGGCTGTGAAAACACAGCGTATGTAGTATGATCTCATGCTTGGATGTTTATCCAATTCTTAGAGGGTTTACAAAATGTGGACAGTGGTGACTCTGAGTGATGAGATTACAAATGACTTTATCTTATTCTTTGTTCACTTCTCAGTTATCTTAACGTTATAATCACAAAATAAAATTATTTTAATTTAAAAAATCACAAGACAATTAGAAGGAGTTTACAGTACCAAGAAGTTTGGAAGCATTGCTATAAAACCTAAGTTCCCCTATGAATGATTAACTAGAATATTCTTTGAGACTGGTGTACTGTGATTAATTCCATGGTCCATATAACAGAGTTAGCTGAAAATCTTTTTTTGTCAGGCTTGTTGAAAAAACTTAAAATATGAATTTATTTCCCTTTTTAAGAAATTTCATATACCGAATAGGATTAACCCATTGATAATTGAAAATCTTCGAGCATCTGGGATAATTATTTTTCCTTTATCTTGATAACTGTTTTTAAAATTGCATTTTCTGCATATATCTAGGGAAATACCAAAAGGAAAAAGAAGCCTCTACCAGCATTGACCTGTAGTACCCTACCATACATTTTATACCTATCCATTTAGTTAATATCAGTAAAGCATGCTTGTTAAGGTTATCTTGGCACCAAATTGGGTGGAATCAAAAACCCAAATAGCTCTACTTTTACAGCTGCTATGACCAGAGGAAATGGTTTCCTTTACTTCATAGCTCTGTTGAGGCCTACTCTGGAGGGGAAAACAAAACAAAACAGTTGTTATTTTAAAAGGTTCCTAGAAGAGTTTCTGGGGGTGTCAGAGCTACCTCATCAATGGTGTTCCTCCCCACTAAGTGCTCTAAAAATTTTAGAAATGGACACGAGTCAAGGATCACAATACCAGCTAGCTATATACCTGGCAATACTAGACTGGAAAACAAGGCCAGGACCTGTGATCAAAATGACATTCCAGATAGTTTTGACTCATCGTAACCTTGAAACCCTTTATAGGGAAAATTTGATGTGCAGAGCAAACATTTATCCAGCCAGCTCTATAAAGAACTGTGGCTCCCTTACTCATGTCTTAATTCAAAATATTCATGATTGTTACATATGATCAAAGCTATTGGTGTGAATGGTATCTAGGGATTGGCTGAATGTGTCTGTACTCAGGACATAGGTACTTTGTGTTTGCTTGTTCCTTCTTTGATGTTTATTCAGGAAATATTCATTTAGTACCTGCTATATACTAAGCTCCATACCAGATATTATCTTACAGCATTACTGGCTCCATTTTAGTGATGATGGGAGAAGGTTAATTTGCATTATGAAGTCCTAAAGTTGTAAATGACAAAGTCAGAGTTCAAGCCTGAATCTGACTTCTAGGGTCTTGTTCTTTTCATTGATCCATGCTACCTTCCTGTTTACCTTTCCATCTGAAAAACTGAGCATCAGAAGAATTTTAGTTAATTGGATAGCCTTAATTCTAATAACTAAAGTTTTACCATAGCTTATATTACCTTTTTTCCTTTTCAGAAAATGACTGTGAATAATGATGTGTGTTAAGTCTTTTTCCACACATTATCATCCAAAATAAATAATCTAACTTCAAAAATTAAAGTGTGGTAATTTCCTTATATAAAGTTAATAGGAGTTCCCCAATTTTGGAATTTTTACTGTTTTGGATAGATAGAGTCCCAAATTAAGACAGCATAGTTACCAAAAGGACCAGTGATGGTTCTGTAATCCACATTAAGCATTTAAAGGTTTCTATGCTAGTCTGGGTTTCTAGTTCTTTCTCACTTTATAGGGCTAATAAATCAAGAAATTTCTATTAATTTTCATTACAAAAGTTAAGTCCAGGGATCCCTGGGTGGCTCAGCGGTTTAGCACCTGCCTTTGGCCCAGGGCGCGATCCTGGAGTCCTGGGATCGAGTCCCACATCGGGCTCCCGGCATGGAGCCTGCTTCTCCCTCCTCCTGTGTCTCTGCCTCTCTCTCTCTCTCTCTCTCTCTCTCTCTCTCTCTCTCTCTCTCTCTCTCTCTCATGGATAAATAAATCTTAAAAAAAAAAAAAGTTAAGTCCAGATTCCTACTAGAGCAAGAACATAAATTGAGAAAAGCATTAGAGAACACAGCTAAGATCTAAAATCTCCCCTTAAGGAAGTGTTATGGTAGTTGATCACAAGTCAGTATTAATCTGTTTACATGAGATTCAAGGAGAGTGGAAAATAAGAATGGGACACAGTACTAGCCCTTATGTTTATTTTAGTTGCTGAAGAAAGATAAGTGTGTGTAAAGTTATCTACCTCTTATTTAAAGTGACAGAGGAAATATTTAGGAAGCAATGAAAAATAAGATTGGAATGAAAGTAAAGTCGGGTTGTGTGTGTGTGTATGTATATACATATATATACATACATACACACACTGTTGAGTATGGGAGACAGTAGTTACATGTCACTACCGAGTAGTTGAAATGTAGCTGAGGAACTGAACTTAAAATTTTATTTAATTTTAAGTTTAAATAGCCACATGTGGCTGGTGACAGTACAGTTCAGTAGTGAAGAGCCAGTGTTTTTCAGGAGAATGGGGAGATCCTAAAAAACAATAAACTGATGAAGAGAGAGATAAAATGATATAAACAAAATAACATGAAATATATTGCCTGGCCCTTTATATAATAAAGCTTTATTTTTCTCCCAAATTAATAATTTATCTTGAAATGCTACTTTTTTGTTATAGATGTGTTTTCTAAAATATACTGTTAAAAAGATTTTGACAATTTGGAATCATTACATTTTTTTAGGGTTTTGTTATAGCAAAACATTTATTTATATCCTTAAATAGAAAAATTATCCATTTCATTTAAGACTCTTTCATCATTTATTATTTCATTAGGTACTAAGTTTCTCCCTATGTTATATTTGGTAAATATACCAGTGATTTCTGGCTGAAATTGCCAGATGGGTAAGGAATGTGGTTGATTGGACATCAATCAGTCTTAATCCTTTCAATTAAGTCTATGTCTTAATTTTAGTATTTAGGCTTATTTTTGTATGGTATAGGTTTACAACAGTTTATACCCTCTTTAGCATATGAGGTATACCCAAAGCAGTAAAAGAGAGTGTCTTCTCTTAAGTAATATGTAGTTTCAAAAGATATTTATTATTAATTGGTCATTTTAAATCTCTTTAACGTGTCTTTAAAATGTAATAGAAGGGCTTTCTGAAATGTCTATGAAAAATAGTACTAACATTTATTACAGGCTAAATTGTAATAGTCATTTGTGGTAGTAATTCTTGTGTTTCCATGACTATGATTTTTAACCTATAGCTGAATCTACCTATTAAATCTTTCTTAAAATAGAATTGTATCATATTGCTAAAACATCAGTGACATTTTCTTACTTAGTAGTTTGGTATAGCCCTTACATATTTAATAAATACTTAACAATATGGTTAGAATTTTGCCTGCTATTAATAAACCTTTAAGACAGAAGTAAATTATGTTGTTTATATAGTGATATGAATGCCTTAATCTAGTTTTTGTTTTTTGTATTAGTAACAGTTGCCTTTATCTTAATTTTTTACTACACTAACATAAAAAATAATATATATATGTAAATACACAAATTTGACAAGATGAGACCTTAGTGATTCACATTCCTGAGTGAAAAATTAAATTTGAATTTCAGTTCAGTGACTCTGCAAACTAATAAAAACATAAAGGATGAATATTATGGTGTATGAATGATCTCAGTAAAGCTGTTATTAAAAAATCAGCCAGCAGGGCAGTCCCGGTGGCACAGCGGTTTAGTGCTGCCTTCAGCCCAGGGCATGATCCTGGAGACCCGGGATCGAGTCCCCACTTCAGGCTCCCTGCATGGAGCCTGCTTCTCCCTCTGCCTGTGTCTCTGCCTCTCTCTCTCTGTCTCTCATGAATAAATAAATAAAATATTTTTAAAAAAAATCAGCCAGCAAAAGGAAAAAAACAAACTTGTTAGAGATAATTCTGAAAGGGAGACGATTACTTGCTGGTATTTTTAATGGACACCTAATAAATTTGAAGAACTGTCCCATTATGGAGAGATTAAAGTTGATTTTTTTTTCCTGGTTTTGAAGTTTCTTCATTATTTTAACTTATGTGAGGAGGCACTCATTCAAGTAGTACTAAGTTAAAACTTGTCATCAAGTGTCTATTTCAGCCAGAATCCTTCTCCCCCTTCAGATATCTGCTTTGTCTAAACTATTCTTTATTTTGAGTTTGAGCAGGCAGCTGTTGGGAGGTCATTTAAAATGAGGCTCAAGGTAGAAATAAGGCTTGGTAACTCTCCTCTGCCCAAAGTGCAAGTGTCAGAATTTTAACTAGGTTTTTCTTTTGTTTGAAACAGTGATGACTCGTGGCACTGCCTCCAGCCCATCCTATAGATTCATATTGAATGATGGGACAATGCTTAGCGCCCACACCAAGTGTAAACTTTGCTACCCTCAAAGTCCAGACATGCAACCTTTCATCATGGGAATTCATATCATCGACAGGTACTACTTATTTGGAGAGCTTCATATGAAATAAATCAGTTCACATATCTCTTCTTAGAGAAAATTTTTTTATTCTCTTGATGGCTAGAAAACAAAAATTCTAAATTAGGTATCAAGCTAGTGTGATGAGTATATATTCAATATATCCATATTGGGTTTTAGCCTAACAATAACCTTATTGTTCAAAAAAACACAAACACACAGGAAGGGTTAGGTTGAAAATATGTGTTTCAGAGGTAAAAACCAAGAAGGTGGCTAAAAATAGCCTATTTTCCATATGTGAACTTTGGTCTTAAAAAAGATTTCAGAATTTGTTAATATTGTTATTTTTATTTTTAAAAGTGCTGTATTCTTATTAGAGCAAACTTGATGGCTCCTGAGTTCAAGTTGACAGTTTCTCAAACTACAGGTCATTAAACTATCAACTTGAGAGTTTTGAATGTCATTGCCTCTAATTTGTTCTCCTAAGTACATTTTACATTGGTATATATGGTAAATTCATGGAACCATTCTTTTATCCTATGAATTATTCAAAACCCTACATTTGCAACTATTTAAAATGTAGCATTAAACAAAAACAAAGACATTTCCCCTCACTTCATCTTTTCCTCATCTGATATATTTGCTTATTGGAACATGGTAATACCAGTCACAAATCTGTTGTCATAATTATGGATTTGAGTAAAGAGCTCGATGAAAATCTGAATTCAGTATTCTGTTTTTTCTAATTTTAGTTTAATTTATGCTTGTGAGTGGAATTAGCACAGTTCTTTTTTTCATATTGTGATTTCTCTTTCAAAACATCTGCTATGTCTGCATATCACCCTTTTTAATTTTTACATCAGTGACACAGTATTTTCCTTACCCAGTCTTCCTCTTTGGAGTTGAAATACTTAAAAGCTGTAAAAGGGAGTCATGAATAAAGACTTTGTAAACAGAGGTGTGGGAAGTTTCTCTTTCAATCAAAAATATTATTGTAATGTTAAGTATTTGTATTAAATTTCAAAAAGCTTAAAAGTACATATATTGGATTTTTTCCAAGGCCAAGAAAGATTTCTTTCCCATATAACTGAAACCGTTATCAAATTTATGGGACCATGAGCACTATTGCCTATTAAGTGGTGCTAATAATTCACAGTAGCACTAACAGTCCACTGTTTTTCCTTAATTTAAAGTGATACAGAAGCTTTTTACTTGATGGCTTGCAATATTAATGGGGTTAATGGTCTTGGTTTATAATATGCATCATAAAGACATTTTAATGGAAAGCAGTGAAGATGTTTGAATAATAATGTCTTTTTCCCCCTCCCCCCAGGGAACACAGTGGTCTTTCTCCTCAAGATGACACTAATTCTGGAATGTCAATTCCCCGAGTAAACCCCTCCGTCAATTCTAGTATCTCACCAGCTCATGGTGTGGCCCGTTCATCCACATTGCCACCATCCAGCAACAACATGGTGTCCCCCAGAATAAACCGCCAACAGAGCTCAGACCTCCATAGCAGCAGTCATAGTAATTCTAGCAACAGCCAAGGGAGTTTTGGATGCTCACCTGGAAATCAGATTGTAGCCAGTGTTGCCTTAAACCAGGGACAGGCCAGTTCCCAGAGCACTAACCCCTCTTTAAACCTCAATAATTCTCCTATGGAAGGTACAGGAATATCTCTCGCACAGTTCATGTCTCCAAGGAGACAAGTTAGTTCTGGATTAGCACCAAGGCCCAGGATGCCAAACAATTCGTTCCCTCCTAATATTCCGACATTAAGCTCCCCCGTTAGCATGACAGGTACTGCCTGTAATAATAGTAACCGATCATATTCAAACATCCCAGTAACATCTTTACAGAGCATGAATGAAGGACCCAATAACTCTGTTGGCTTCTCTGCCAGTTCTCCAGTCCTCAGGCAGATGAGCTCACAGAATTCACCTAGCAGATTAAATATACAACCAGCAAAAGCTGAGTCCAAAGATAACAAAGAGATTGCATCCATTTTAAATGAAATGATTCAGTCTGACAACAGCTCTACTGATGGCAAACCTCTGGATTCTGGGCTTCTGCATAACAATGACAGACTCTCAGAAGGAGACAATAAGTACTCTCAAACCAGTCACAAACTAGTGCAGCTTTTGACAACAACTGCAGAGCAGCAGTTACGGCATGCTGATATAGACACAAGTTGCAAAGAAGTACTGTCTTGCTCAGGCACTTCCAACTCTGCCTCTGCTAACTCTTCAAGCGGTTCTTGCCCCTCCTCTCATAGCTCGCTGACAGAGCGGCACAAAATTTTGCACCGGCTCCTACAGGAGGGTAGCCCCTCGGATATCACCACTTTGTCTGTTGAGCCTGATAAAAAGGACGGTGCATCTACTTCTGTATCAGTGACTGGACAGGTACAAGGGAACTCGAGTGTAAAACTAGAACTGGATGCTTCAAAGAAAAAAGAATCAAAAGACCATCAGCTCCTACGATATCTTTTAGATAAAGATGAGAAAGATTTAAGATCAACTCCGAACCTGAGCCTGGATGATGTAAAGGTGAAAGTAGAAAAGAAAGAACAGATGGATCCTTGTACCACAAACCCAACCCCAATGACCAAACCTGCTCCTGAGGAAATTAAACTGGAGTCCCAGAGCCAGGTAGGTAATCCCTCGCGTCATAGAATAAATAGTCATAGTTATTTTTTCCTTTTCATGTATTTTACTCCAACCATAAACCAGATTTGGATTCAGGCTATGTTTTGTCCTACCCATTGGGCATATATTAAAAGGTTAGTATCAATGGTTGAAACATCACGGGATGCCCTCAGAGGAAATGGTTGAAAAATCACAGGATGCCCTCCTTGGAACTTTGGAGGGCTATAGTTTGTTGTTGTTGTTGTTGTTGTTGTTGTTTAGGGCTATAGTTTTAATGCAGCATTCTAAGCAAATGGATATTTGCTTCTTTCCATAAAATCAGTTCACAGCTTTGGAAATTTTTAAACATACCTTTCCTGCCCCCTCCTCCCAATCCCACCTGTTGAATCCAACTCTTTGGATATAGAACACAGAAATCTGTATTTTTAAGAAGCTCCCCAGAGAACTATGATGTGTAGCTAAGTTTGGGAACCTCTGATGTAAATGAAATGGGAGAGAAGTATGAGGAGGTGGGCAAAACTGCTTAGTCTGGCTTGCTTTGCTATTTAGTTTCCCTTGAAACGTTTTTTAAGGCTGTTTTTCTTCTTATCTGATTCTAATCACCTTCAGCCCTTATCAGAATAGGGACTCAGAGTATTCTAGGAAGCAGGTACATAACACACTCTGAAACAGAAATAAACAGAAATAAACCTTTGCATAAATTGTTATAGGTTAGGAACTTCTGTGATTAAGCTAAGGTCGGGATGGAGTGAAATTAACAGGCACCTTCACTTATGAAGTAATTGCTATGGACCCTGAAGGAATTTAAGAAAAACAGAAAATGTAGTCTCTCCCCCCTAGGAGCTTACAAATTATTTAGAAAGAATATAGACAAATATGAAATAGCTGAAAATATATTTACAAAGCAGCTAATCGATGAGACATTTCATTTTGAAACAGGATTCACACTTAGTGTACATAGGTCCTTCATTTTTTAAGCCAGCTTTATGTTCTACCCTCATCTCACAGAAATCTCTCTCTTCCCTCAGGCATACTGCATTCTAGGCACATGGAAGTCCTTGCCATTCCTGGAATAAGCCATGTCTCTTCTAAGCATCTTCTGCCTTGCTCTCCTTTCTGTCTGCTGAACTTCTCCTCATCCTTCACAAACCAGTTCAGACATCATCTCTGTAAAGCCTTCCCCACTAGCCTTCATTAGACATTTCTTTCCTCTCTGCATTCATAGTGCTCCATATTGTCTCTATTTACTATTTGTAATAACACTATTTTGATTACTTTTATGTGTGTGTGCTTTTTGAGTATAAAGCTATCTCTCATGTTTCTTGGTACAGGTAAACTAATACTGTGCTTTTAAGCTGAAAAAAAGCTTTAAATAATAACTATATTAAAACTCTTTAAAAAGTCACAACTTTATAAGATAATGCTATTGTGTACAGTTGTGGTAGATGTTTTGGTTTGCATATTCATGCATTTCTGCTGAGTTTATACCTACGAGTGGAATTGCAGAATCATAAGATATATGTATGTTCATCTTTAGTAGATAATGGAGTTTTCCTAGTGTGTACAAAGAATTCCCTCTAGTGTTCCATGTTGTTGCTAATACTTAGTAAGGTCAATCTTTTAAATTTTGGCCATTTTGGGGTCTTTGTAGTGGTACTTCGTAGTTTTAATTTGCATTTCCCTAATATTTATTGGCCATTTGTATATCTTCTTTTGTGAACTGCCTATTCAGGTATCTTGCCTATTTTCCCAATATGTTGTCTTTTTCTTACGGACTCATAAGAGTTCTTTACATATTTTGGATGAGTCCTATAAAGTAGTATATTTGCAGACATCTTCTCTATGCTTTGCCTTGCCTTTTCTTTCTTTTAATGGTACTTTTGATGAAATGTCTTCATTTAGTCCAATTTGTCAGTATTTTCCTTTATGATTAGTACTTTTTGCACATGTATAACAAAAGACGTGTTCAAAAATGTTCATAGTAGCTTTATTTGTATTAGTCCCAAATCCATCACAATAGAATGGGTAAATATATTGTGGCTTGTTCATACAGTGTGTTACTATTCTATAGTGAAAACAAATTGACTACTACTACATGTGACAAGATCTCTGAACTTCAGACATATAATGGTTTTTTTTTTTTTTAAGATTCTATTTATTTATTCATGAGAGACAGAGGCAGAGACTCAAGCAGAGGGAGAAGCAGGCTCCATGCAGGGAGCCCGATGTATGACTCAATCCCGGGACTCCAGGATCATGTCCTGGGCTGAAGGCAGGCACCAAACTGCTGAGCCACCCAGGCATCCCCATAAATATAATGCTAAGTGAAAGGAGTCAGACATTTTAAAAATACATCTATATAATTCTATTTATACAGTCTAGAAACATAAATTTTAGTTGAATTAAATAGTGAAACCCAAACAGGTGACATTTTATACTGATGAACTGTCTCAAAGTAATAGTTATAGCATAATACTGTGAAATAAGGCCAGTTTTCTCCTATGCATAACCTCAGACAACTGTAGAGATACCCTATCTCATCTAGAAAATAGGTTTCTTATTTTATTAAATCCTCAAGTGGGAAGTGACCTTCCTAGGATCTCTGAAGCTGATATACTATTTATAAGGAAGTTTTCCAAACTTTTTTAAATTATAAAGTTACATCAGTGTAAATTTATTTTTCATTAACATCATAAAGTAAATCATTTTATAAGATAGAAAAAAAATCCAAAAAAAAAGAAAAAAAAATCATCCATAATCAGTGGAACACAATATTCTTGAATTCTTTCCAGTCTAATCTCTTTCCAACGCATAAATTTTATGCCAAAATATAGTAGACAATTATTATGTGTACATTATCTCATACCCTCCACTATATTAATATCATAAGCATCCAAACTGTTTTCCAGAAGCTCACATAATTTTAATGAGGCCTCAGTCTTTCCAATTATTTCTTCTTAATTCTCTCATAGTCACACTTAATTCATAGAGTGTAAAGGAACAACTTTTTTTCTACATTGATTCAGGTAAAGTATAGAATATATTTCCTCTAACTTTGGTTTCCGTTCTTAGTTTACAGCTGACCTTGACCAGTTTGATCAGTTACTACCCACGCTGGAGAAGGCAGCCCAGTTGCCAGGCTTATGTGAGCCAGAGAGGATGGATGGTGCGGTCACTAATGTAACCATCAAATCGGAGACCCTGCCAGCTTCACTTCAGTCCACCACTGCCAGACCCACTTCCAGGCTAAATAGTATGTGTTGGGAGAAAACCTTGTTTTAAATATGTAACCATAATGTGGATTAGTGCTTTATCTCTCATCATTACTGCACAGACCATTTATTTGTTGAGAATGAACTATTTTTACATTAATGCCACTGTAAATAATGTATAGTTATTCTTATACATATGAATTTCACTCATCATGTGTATCTTAAGTTATTATAGCTTCTATCTTTCTGTAATTAATGTTAAAGTGAACAGTTGATATTAAGGAGAACAATTTTGTGTTCTTACCCAAACATTCCATAGCAAGACTCAGAAATATGGTACTGGTCAGATTATATTATCCAAAGTGTCTTCCTTGAACACTAGTCCTACAAGTTGGAAAAAAAGGATTTTGTGCTAAAATCCACTGGGCAAATGCTACATGGCACATATACCATTCTCCTCTTAAAATTCCACATTGTATATTAGTTTTTAAAAGCCCTATGTTAAAGATACCAGTTTACATTTCTGTAACCCAGCATTTACCATACTTTCTTGATTATGGAATTCTTTTCACAAGTCATACATGTTATCCCATAGAGCACCATTTAGGAGACAACTGTTGAAATGAGTCACTGGTACTCTAGCCTAAAGAGACACTTTGGTAGTATAATACTTCATAAAGATAGGCCTGTCAAGTGTTATTCATCTGTCAAATTTTGAAGTTGAAAATAACGGTATTGATAATTCCATTGTGTAACCTTGAAACCAAAGGAAACTGAACAGCTTACTTTCAAAATTTGCCTGTGTTCCCGACCCAAGTCTTGTCCCTCTTTTGACAGGATCAAATGTGGGACTCATTTATTTCAGTCTTACTGCAGCTTTTAGCTGTCATGACACAATTCCTGCAAGTTTGCCAAGATTTCCAGGAAGCTGGAAAAAAAGGTTTTTGAGTCATTTCTGACAGTTTTGGAAGCAGTTTTTCAGCTGACCAGAGCACTAGGTGTAAGCTGGAGCCCAGGTTCAAGTCTCACATTTTCCTTTTATTAACAGTGTTACTCTGGACACATGAATTTCCTGAGCTTTATTCTCTTTATCTGCAAAAGGAGAATTAAATGAAATGACTCCAAAAGTTTGTTCTAATTGAAACTGAGAGGCTCCAGACTCTGGCATAGTAGGCACAGTTGGAGAAACAAGAAGGTACAAGGCTAAAAGGCAATAAAATGAAGTCTGACTATTGAGTGTTTTGATTCTGGATCCCCATCCAATATGGGAGCCTGGGGGATTTATCTCAGGAGAACTGAATGGCCAGAAAAATGTCTGGATATGGGTGTGTAAGGGGAGCTCCCTAAAGTGCAGAGGTCACCCTGCCATTTAATTGTCCAACAGAAGGCTCCCAGAGGACACAAGCTTCACACTCCGCTCTCACAGTCCGTGTTTTATAACACTGAACAGACACAACCAGAGATCACCAGGACTTTGAGGGAAGTCTGCAACTTGAAAGAGAGTAAAAGAAACAAAAAGAGAGTACAATAGAGCTATACAACAAGAGCATGGACTAAAACTGAACTAAACTAAAAAACCTAAAATTTTTGAGAAGATATTTTATCCATATGGGAAGAAAAAAGGCAAAGAAGAAGAAAGAATTTTTGGAAGTTAAATATCCAACATTTTAAAATTTTAAGAGAAATGATAGAAGACAAGGCTGAGAAAAACTTTAAGAAAGAACAAAAAGACAAGTAGAAAGTTGGGAAGAAAAAAAGTTAAGATTGACCTAGGAGGGCCAGTAATGATTGATAAGAATCGGTCAAACAAGCAATGAGAAGGGGGGGAAAAAGGGGAAGAGAAGATATTTTCAAACAACAACAAAAAGTCAAGAATGTTTCTAGAAAGAAACAAAGGGCATAATTTTTCAGATTTCACTGGCTGAACACATAGCTAACACGTACATACAAAAAAGACCTATACCAAAACTTATCATTTGTAATTCTGGAACACACCAGAGAGAAAGATTCTAAAAGCTTTCAGAGAAAAGATGTGAATTGCATGCAGTGAGTCATAATTGCCCCAAACTTGGAAGCTATCAAGCCATGAAAAGACATGGAGAAACTTTAAATGCATATTGCTGAGTGGAAGAAGCCAATCTGAAGAGGCTACATATTGTATGATTCCAACCATATAGCGTTCTGGAAAAGGCAACACTATGGGGACAATAAAAAGATCAGTGGTTGATAGGGATTCGTTGTTAGTATTTGTCAGAGGGAGGGATGACTGGGTAGAGCATGGAGGATTTTTAGACCAGTGAAATTGTTCTGTATGATACTGTAATGGTGCATACATGTTGTTATACATATGTCAGAACCTATAGAATGTACAACACAAAGAGTAAACTCTGTGAACTATGAGCTTTAGTTAATGAAAATGTATCAATATTAGTTCATCAGTCTAACATATGTAGTACATAAATGCAAAATGTTAATAATAGGAGAAACAGCCCAATCTAAAAAATAGGCAAAGGATTTTAAAAGACACTACATAAGTAAAGATTGAAAATAGCCAACAAACACATGAAAAGATAGTCAATATCTTTAATCATCAAGGAAATGCACATTAAAACTATAATGCAGTACTGCTATATATACTACTACTATTCCATTGAAATACCCCAGATTTTAAAAACTGATGGTACCAAACAATTATGTCAAAGATGAGCACCTTGAACTTTGGCATTGCTATTGGATATATAATATGGTAAAATCTCATCAAATGAGACACATTACCATGTGACCCAGCAGTCCAACTCATAGGTATTTAACAAAGAGAAATGAAAGCACATGCTTATCCAAAGGACTTGACCACAAATGGTCCTACAACATTATTCATGATAGCCTCAAACTGGAAACCATCTAAATGTCCATCAACAAAGAAATGGCACATTTATAAACTGAAATACTGCTCAGCAGTGGAAAATAAGAAACTAGTGGTTCATGGCATGAATTATTTATTCTCAAAAACATGCTGAGTGAGAAAAGTCTAGATTATTGGTTGCTAGTGTGGGGTTGAAGTAGGGAAGATCGACAGCCAAGAAGCTTGAGGAAACTTTTAGACATGACAGAAATATTCTGTTTTCTTTATTAAGACAGGAGGGTTATGAGTTTATATCTTTTTCAGAGTTTATTACAACTGTACACTTAAAATGGGTGTATATTATATGTAGATTAGACTTTAATCAAATTTGCTTCAGGAATATCTGTGATTAATTTCTTTTTTTTTTTAGATTAGAGTAATTTCTAACTACAATTAACCATGCAAATTTCTAGTAGTTGTGAAAATAGGTAAAAAGACATTTTTAGGTATAAAAGGGCTCAAATATTTGCATGGTATAGTCACCCCTTCTAGTAAAGATCCTTAGAGAAGTACTTCAACAATACAGGGAGAAAACCAGAAGAGAAAAAGATATAAGATCCAGGGAAAACAGAGGATCTGAAAGCATAGCTGATTAATAAGATTAGGGAATAGCCAATACATATTGAAACAGGTGGCCTGAATCTTCTGGAAAGGAGGCTTCTGGGAGAGAAATGAAATTGATCTCTTTGAGTTTATAGAAAAGATTACAGATAGGTTTATGTCAACAATGTTGAAAATCTGAAAGATTTCTCTAGAAAAGCAGGCAAATGAAAAATATGGCAGTTTTTAACTCCAGAAAAAGGGAAGCAAGATACAAGAAAGGTTTGAACATAGTGCACAATGTAATTTTGCAATGAGTAATATTTGCATAATCATAAGAATCTAAGTATTAACTTTTTATTATAAAGAAACTGTGAACTCTGTTAGGGAATTGGGGACATGGGAAGTAGTAAGATAGGTAGGTCTGAGAAAATTAAGACCTCATCTATCATGATGGCAAGTCAGTAATCTCAAATTGAGACATAAGGAATAGCAGCATATGCACATTTAGAAATAAATAAGCAAATGCCAAAGAAAATAGTTACACAAGTTGAGAATGGCTGCCTCCATTAGAAGGGAAGTAACCAAGGGATTAGAAGGGGTAAGACTTAAAGCTGCTTTTATTTGTAATGGACCTTTTGGTCCTGACTTTAATAATTATGTATATATATTTGATAAAAAGTAAAGGTAATAAAAATAGAAAGTATTTTCCTACTCTTCAGGCCTGTGAAACTGAAATATTTTTCCTTTGTAGTCTGTCCTGAGGCAAATAAATTTTGCTTCTCTCTTGAGATTTCTTCCCCCAAATATAGCTCCATATATAAAAGTATATAAAATAGGCCAGAATCTGTTAAACCTTGTGCTATAGTGTTGGCAAAGGCCAAAAGCATAAAAGGGAAGATCTCATGGTAAAGGAGGGTGAGGATGACGGTGCAGACAGTCTGCAATGTAGAGGAGAAAGAAAATAAGATTTTAGGAGGCATAAGGCTAAGGAAACAAGTTGGGCAGAATAAAGGAAAAGAGGAGATCCCTGGGTGGCTCAGCGGTTTGGGCCTGCCTTCGGCCCGGGGCGTGATCCTGGGGTCCCGGGATCCAGTCCCATGTTGGGCTCCCTGCATGGAGCCTGCTTCTCCCTCTGCCCTCTCTCTCTCTGTGTGTTTCTCATGAATAAATAAAATCTTTAGAAAAAAAAAAGGATAAAGGAAAAGAGAGTAAAGGATTGGAAAAGGAAAAAGATGGGGACAAAAATATATTAGCATATCCTAGGAAAGAAGAGAATAGCCTCTAATTCTCTGCCTCCTCTAGCCTCTGTGATGGCCATCACTACCTTTCACTGGAACCAGAATCCATCACTGAATAGCTGATTTCACATCTTAACCTTGTGCCCACCTGGGAAAATCAAGCATCTTTCTTCACCTTAGTCTTCAGCCTTAACCTAAGCAGTGTCAAGTGTAAATGCCTGGCATAGGACACATCATGTTTAGTTACCATCATATTTCACCACCTGGGGTACACCAGTTAGAACTTCTGGGTTTTTCTACCATGGCACTCATCTTTTCTCTTACCTTTTCTTTTCCTTACCATTTTGTAGTGTATTTT